TTCTTGAATGACCACATCGTCCAGCATTTGCTTCTGCGAAGCTTTGCGAAGAATGTTGGCTTCAATTGTGTGTTCACTGACTAGACGGTAGATGTGTACATCGCGAGTCTGTCCGATACGATGGCATCGATCTTGACATTGCTTGTCCATGGCTGGGTTCCAGTCTTGGTCATAAAAGATGACGGTATCGGCACCTGTAAGATTGATGCCGAGACCGCCCGATCGAGTCGACAGGATGAAGCAGAGAATCCGCGGGTCATTGTTGAATCGGTCGGTAAGGATTTGTCGCTGTTCCACCTTGGTAGCACCATCCAGACGGAGGTATTTGTGGCCGTGAATGTTCAAGAATTGTTCCAGGATATCCAAGACCTTGGTCATCTGTGTAAAGATGAGGGCGCGATGGCCACCAGTCTGAAGCTTTCGCAGGAGCTTGTCCAAAACTTGGAGCTTTCCGCAGTCGTATTGTAACAGACGCTTGTCGGGGAATTGAATGCTAAGTCGCATGCGCCCTTCATGCCAAGGATCGGGTGGTGCTTCTTTAGGTAGAAATGGTGCCCATCGGACGGGTTTCGACAGTTTAAGATCCTCATCTGTAAATGCTTCAATTCCTTTGCGACCGAGGACAAACTGATCCATGTCTCTGGTCACAACAGCCGGCGTGACACAAGAGAACTTCTCAATAGTTGTCTTGAAGCTGTCGGCACGCTGATTGACGGTCGGTATCATCGACTGAATGAGCCTCGATTCCTCTTCGAACCAAGACATTACCATACGAGGGACTTTAGGACGGGGCTTGTATGGCCTCTTGTCGGTACCAATAGTTAATAACTCTACCAAGTTCTTGCCATAAATGGGCTTCTTCTGACGGCGTAGCGCATTAAGGTAAACGCAATGTTGAAGCTCTTCAAAACGTCCCCACCTTGCGCCGCTCTCCAAGTATGCGATATTCGATGCGACTGTTGAAGGATCTAGGTGGTCGTTTGCTTGGTGTGCACGGGTTCTTTGAGCCTCTTTAAGGTCCATTAATATTCGATGAGAGCTGAGTTGTGAGATTCGCTCGGCTTGTGTGGTGGAGAGGGATTCGGATTGAGTAGGGATGAGGTTGAGAAAGCCGAGGTTGACATCTTTCATGGGTTTGGGGTCAAGAAGTAACTTCTGAACCCTTTGCTCGACAAAGTCATAGTCTGAGACGACAGACTTGCTCATTCGGAAGGATGTCATGATTGGTCGGTCAACGAAGAGATCTGGGTGATTGCAGACCTTTCGGAGTTGCATGAGACAGTTGATGATAGAGAGATAATTGCCAGAGTTGAGTGTTTCCTTGGTGTCATTCCGTGAGAGGAATCCATCATAGAGCTCACGTTGTCGCTTGGAGAGTCGGCAAAACTCAACGTGCTCATACTTGGCAGGCATTTGCTTCTCGACATCGGCTTTCAATCGACGTAATAGGTAGGGTCGCAGAACTTTGTGTAGCTTCGAGATAATAGCTCGTGCCTCATCGTCCATTTGTTCTCTCCCACTCTCGAGAATTTGTGATTCAGGCTTTGCAAACCAATCGTGAAACTCTTGTAGATCGGCGAACCCACCAACGCCATTCTCAGCCGGCATGAGGAAGAAGAGGAGTGACCAAAGTTCTGTGAGGTTATTCTGGAGAGGTGTGCCTGTGAGTAGTAGCCTGGCTTGGGTATTGAAGCCAAGTAGAGTCTGCCATCTTTGAGATTTGAAGTTCTTGATGTTGTGCGCTTCATCAAGGATCATGTAGTGCCAGCGACGTCGCTTGAACACTTGTTGATCCTGGAGAACAAGTTGATATGAGGTGATACAAACATTCCACACATCGTCATTGTTCCAGCCTTGTCGCTTGCGTTTTCGTTCCTCTTGAGATCCGTAGTATGCCAAAATTTTAAAGCCAGGGCACCATTTCTTGAACTCCATTTCCCAATTGAGCATGACACTGGTAGGGACCACAACAAGATGCGGTCCCCATACCTCGTGTTGACATGCCAGATGTGCAAGAAGAGCGATAGTCTGAATCGTCTTGCCAAGACCCATTTCATCAGCAAGAATACCATTGGTGCTGTTGGCATAAAGACCTGCCAGCCAATCGAGTCCATCGCGCTGATACTCTCGTAGTGTGCCTCTGAGAAGAAAAGGTACATCGATTTTGTGATTTGATGATTGTTGTGGTGAGGCAGATCGACTCGGACCAGTTTTGTCTACCACCATCATCTCCCCAGAAGAAGCCGTGTCCAGCTCAGATGGCTTGGTTTCTGATGTAGGAGGGGGAGACATACTATGTGCACGACTGGGAGGATTAGTTGGTTGTTCCGATGCGGATCTGTGGTTTTCCAAGGGTAGAGTTGGTGCGGATTCTTGTTCCTCGGTGGGTTCTGCCATGACAACCTCAGTGTCTTGTGGCGTGGAACCCTCCGCCGGGGCCTCAGTGACGATATCACCATTGACCGGGACATCCTCAGTCGCCGCATCGGGTGCATTAGTCTCTGGTGCCGGTGTTGAAGTCTTCTCTGCAATTTCGGCGGCCCCTTCATTTTCTGTCACTTCGGGCTTCTCAACAGAAGCTCCCTCAACCTCACCGTTGACCTTTGGCGTTGAGTCTTCTGCGTCAGGCATCTCAGTATCCCCATTCTCGGTTGGCTCCTCTGTCGCAGCTTCATCGTTCATCTTCTTCAGCTCCGACTTTCCAAAAAGAAGTCCTAGCAGACCACCTCCAGCATCTTCATCAGACTCTTCTTCCGATTCGTCCTCTCCCTCCTCATCACTATCCATATCCGTAGAGCCCATGTCATCATCCATATCAACAGACTCGTCGCTGGTATCGGCATTTTCTTCCGCAGTTGCTTGGGCAGTGTCAACTGCATCAGTGTCGTCGCGGCTTGGCTCAGTGATCGGTGTCTCTGCATCCGGCTTCTCGAGTTCTGGTATATGGGCATACTTCTCGCGCAGCTGCTCTTGTGTCAAGTTCTCATCACCAACATCCTTCAAGTCCTCCTCTTCGTCACCCTCTTCCTCATCTGATGACATTATATCGCTGTCGGGGTCGTCTTCGTTATCTCCGTCTTCTCCCGACGCCAAGTCAAGGTCATCGTCGTCGTCCATGCTCATCTCGTCGCTAAGATCATCGAATCCATCCTCTTCCTCTTCAGAAAGTTGCTCGGAATCCAACCCTGCTCTCCGGGCTTGCAATTTCTGTTCAGAGAGGTTAACAGCTTCGTTCAACGCTGCCTTGACTCTCCTCTGCTCTTCTTGTTCCCATTCGGCCAACCGTCGACGATTGACTTCAGCACGGACATTCTCCCAGGTACCGAAAAGTGCCTTCACCACAACACGATATCGAGATATCCATATCGCTCTTTGTTCCGCTTCGATCTCTTCTTCTGACTTTGGTTGGCGCCGTAGCCACTCGTCTCGACAAGCCTCAGCCACTCTTTTCGCCATCAATCGATGTCGTTGTTGCTCCGCCAGCATCAGTTTTCGAAAGTTCATCATAGCCTTCACCATATGGTCTTGTCGAGCCCATTGCCTAGGCGGCTCTTCCCCTGCTTCCGGAAGAAATACTGAGCAGCGCCCTTGAGAGAGAAGCCCACCAGGTTCAACTTCTTGTTCAATTCGGAGAATGGTGCGTGCGTCCTTAGCAGCCATTTCATCTGTATAAGGCTGGCCATCTTCAGATGCCAAGAGTCCACCGTCCTCAACAGGGATGTCACCAGCTCGAGCCCAAAAGTCTTCAAAGTTCGTACTAATCTTGGGTTTCTTTCGGACTTGATCAGGATGCACTAGAGGAATATCGCCAGATCGTCCGACTCGTAACTTAATGCGGGGCGATCGATTGGTAACATTTTTCGGTTCATGAATCTCGTCCTTGACATCGCTAAATCGTGCGGATCTTCTCGATCTGGTCGAGGCTTCTGGTGGAGGGCTTCGACGTCGGGTGGAACGGGAGGGTCGGGTTTCTGTAGGCTTTTTTGAAGATTTTGGAGTCGAGGCGGGTGTTTGCTTCGAGGGAGCTTTGGTGGCGGGGCTAGCTTTGTGTGAGCCGTTGGGCATCTTTCTCGAGTTGCCATTAGTCAACTGAATTTCTGCCTTTGGTTTGGAAGCTTTGGAATTTGCGCCGGATCGTCTCGTGCTTCGAGTTTTTGTATTTGTTTCGACTGGGAGTGTGTTGATGCGGCCCGATTTTCGACGTCCATTTTCCGTGTATGACGTTGGGCCGTCTGCAGATATCTTCTTCCATGGTGGCGACTCGGGCTTGATCTTTTTTGGCGTACGTGGAGGTGTCGATTCTCGTGTGCGTCGTCTTTTTGCAGGTCGTTCATCGCCATGGTCATGACCGTTAGGCTGTGATTCTGATGCATCGCCGTTCGTCTCATCGTGACCATTAGTCACCCCGTTCAACGCGTCATCCCCATTGACATGCGTCTCGGGCGCGTTCTCGTCCTTGATGGCATCAGGGTCCGACTTGGGCAACACGTTGGCGGGCGACGCGGTCTCGGGCATAGTCGCAACGTGGAGACAGTGGACGCAGGGGGCGTTTTCTCTGCGAAGCTATCATTTGCGGGGTCGAAATTAATGTCTACAGAATAGTAGCGCTTCAGCGGATATTCATACAAATTTTGCACATGTTCAGATGCCTTGCGGGCGAACTGTGTGGAATTTAGTGGTAAAATCCAATGTCGTCAGCAAAACTTTTGAGCTGGGGAAGAATCGAAGATGCACGCCTGGACCTGCAAATGAGCTAACCGAAAATGGCCCGAACGCGCCTGTTGATGCCTGAGGCCTGATTTTCGGTTGAGAATCATTACAGCCTCCATTGGCTAAAGCTTCAACGAGCATCACATCACGTCACAGAGCAATTGGTCGCCGCGACACTGTCACTCGGCCGAGGTATGCTGCCAGGTGGATTTGGGGACATTCTCAATTGATCGCTAACTTTTCAGATGCTCCCTCAACGAATTGTGCGGGCCTCGGCCCTGCGCAGCACCATGACAGCTGCTCGACGACTTCCCACGATCCAACGCCGAACCTTCCTCCCCGATCAGTATACCGACAAGAAGGTTATTGACCAGAAGTACCCCGAGCCTCCCAGCTTGAGCGAGGCCGAGGACCCCGGAATGGTCAGTGATGATGGGTACGAGGAGGAACGAAGCTGATAATCTCGCAGAACGGCGGCTACATCAACCCTCCCCGAATCAAGCGACAGTTCCGTGACCCTCATGCGGGCTGGTGGGATCCCCAGGAGCGACGAAACTTTGGTGAACCCATCCACGAGGATAACGATGTTCTTGGAATCTTTTCTCCCTGGGAGTACACCTGGACTACCGCTGGTCCTGGTGCTGTCATGGTCGGAACCTTTATCGCCGTTTTCCTGAGCGTTACCGGAGTTGTCTACCTCAACTATCCCGATCGACCTGCTTATCCCCGAGAGTTTGAGGGTGGTCTGGAACGAGAGCTTGGTGGCCCTGGAGCTACAAGGGTGAGTGGTTAGGGATATTGGATGTTCGTATGCTAACGGTTGTAGGCTCGCATGGAGGGTGATGAGGAACCTTGAGAAAATACTCATTTGTACATAAGAAAGAATGGTTCAATGGATTAAGTTCAATGGATGTTAGAACTGTGTACCAGCAATTGATGGTCAAGCGAACTGACATGATATGGCTAACAAATGGTTTGATTGTAAGGTGTAGTTTATAGCATGGGACAAGTATAACAAGGCCAATCAACGATTACAGTTGGATTCCCAATTGCTGTTTGCCCATAAAGTATTACAAACGCCCAGCTTTCACCGAGTCAAACTTACACCAGTGTCTTGTCCGGTGCCTTTGGTCCTAAAACCTACCACGGTCCCTGGAATCAGCCCTATGGACCACGTTTAGTCCCTAAAAATGGCCAAACAGGCTCCTCATCACCTTCCTACAAACATAGCATAACATCTCGGGCAAGAGCAAGGACAAGCCATCATGTCGTCAATAACATTTCCTCCTCCAACTCTCATCCATCACCTCTACTCCCCCGTGTCTCTCATCCCATCAAGATGCGATACGAGGATTGGGATGTCCTTCTTTTCGAGGAGGGCTCTAGTATTCCCTCTCGGGAATTTAAAGTGGCATGTCATGTCGTTCAACATGCGGGTAAGTCGATGTTTGGAGTGCCTAACACCAACGCTAATCATCGCAGAGTCCATGGGCTCTTCTCTTCCAACCCTCACATGTTTTGTCCCTGGTCTCAACGCAGGAGTTCCCTTTCGTCTTTCTATCCATTCTTGGAAAGCATTAAAGGATTTAAACGGCGATCATATCCTCAATATTAGCAATTCGGTCCTTGAAGCCAGGCTCTTCATCGATGGAGCTCTTGTTGCGTATGTTTCCCATTTGTCTGCTGGCATCTTACTAATATTGGCAGAACTACCTCCGCTACCGGCAGCATTCGCTTCCCGTTGATCATAGACAGACAAGGTCACGAGAGCCTCAAGTTCCCCATATTCCAACAGGAACTGCTCTATCAACGTCACTGGAGCCCAGCCGACAACCTCGGCCGTATCAAACTCCTCATCAACCAAAGCTTTTCCAGTGCTTCGTCGAGCGTTTCGTTCAAGGGCAAGGCAGTCGTCTTTTCCTTTCAACATGCACCACAGCACATTTTAGAAAGCCTTCAGATAGCCTGGCCCAACCCAGCCATGTGGAATCGTCAACGTCGACCTTCTGCACCAGCCTCTACCGATAGTTCCCATGTCAGCTCGCGTCCAATTTTTGCCCGTCGTGGACAACCGGCCCCGGAACATATCACCGATTCCGCCCTTGGAACAATGCCATTTTCCGGTAACCCTACCTTTGGATGTCTAAATAATCCAGTGAACGGGCCAATGTCACCATGGAGTTATGTTCTCGTCCCGCCAGGAAGAGAGGGATCACCTTATCTGCTGGCTTCCGAGGTGCAGCCTCGTAGGAACCATGAACGAGCATGGCCGACTTCTCCAGTTCTCACCGACGCCACGTTTAGAGTGGATCAGACTCAGAATGTATCGCAACAGATGTACCCCCAGCCGAACAGCGCTCCGATGTCATTTGTGCAACCTCAGCTACATAGTCCTGCGATTCAAGGGTCGACCGAATTCGGCCGAGGAACTCCAAGAAATCCTGCCAGGCTTATCTTTGCGCCGAAACGTAACAGTCCACAGGAGTCTTTCAACTTGGATGTTGTTGAGAGGGCGACAAAGAGAGCTCGAGCCAACACTCCAGAGTCTGCAAAGACACTTAACCAAGAAAAGGAAAATATCAGCCCTCACTTTGATAGCCCTTACGAGTTCATAAACGCGGATATTATTTGATATTTCAGGCGGCGGTCTCCCTGCAGTCGATTACGGAACGCATCACATGGCATGGTAGGGGTATGTTATCTCACTGTTTCCGACATTGTTTTCTTGTCCTACATGTAGCATCAACCCATGTTTTATCACATATCAACTTTGTTGTCTAGCTAGTTAGATGCACAAGCTTAGTTTGACCTTGACAGGCAGTTGTTAATACAGCATGCGATGATTCATCAGTTTCGCGAAGGTTCCGGGCTTCCGTCTTAATGCCTTGCATGTAAATGGCTTTGCGGAAATATGAATGGCAGGCTACTGGCAGCTTATAACACCTTGTACAACACTTGTAACACCCAGTCTCGTCATGTTGACTCACTCAACGTGGAAGATTCGACGTCGGTCATTCGACCTCCGTCCTCCGGTCCAAAGTTCATTCATTACAAAGCTGGGATAATTCGGGCTCGGGGTTTATTGTAAGTCCGCATGCTGCGAAACCTCAGAAGTAGGGACCGTTCTGACCATCTCGTTCTCTTCGAATGATCGAATTGGTTTGGTTAGGTCGCACAGCTTCTCATCTTCAAGCCTCTTCTTATATCGTGTAGCCCATTTGCACCCAACCTATAACGAGATCACTGCCGACCTGATACGATTCGTGGCTTTCACGCCGATCTATGCGAGTTCGTCAAAGGATCAAATGTTCACATAAGCATCCGCCTCAAGTCCATCACGAAATCAGATGAGATTGGCCGCTGTGATCAATCCCAAGATATACGGGCTTACCACGGCTGAAGCTGAACGGAAACCCCGACAGTTATCCAAGGCTTATAGACAATCCGAGCATCCTCAAGCCTCACGGCTTCCGGCTTCCGGCTTCCGCTAGGCCGCAATTTCTGGCCTGGAGGAGTAAATGCGCTACACGATCTTATCGTTCCACGCTTTCTCTTGGTCAAGGCCGCTGAAGTCATGGCAGGCCCCCATATGCATGGGCGGAATGCCACACCTTTGTGCCAGGCCACAACTGCAGGTGAAGATCTTTTGTCAAGTCTCGTTGCTGTGGTTTTCTCTGGCCCCCGAGGTGAGACGAGAAGTTCATCGACTCAGCATGAACTTCCTGAAAAGATTCCGTCGTGCTACATTGCTCTGCAGGCTTCTCGTGGGTGAGCGATGAAGCTAAAAGGACGTGTCTTTCCGCATGCTTGGCTGTTGTTGTTCTGTTCACTTCCAACGGCATTCGTTGTAACTCTTCAAGATGGCTTCTATCATGTCTGCCCCAGACTACTCTATGGCTGCGACGAGTCGTTCGCACCTGAGTGTACGTCTGCCTAAAGAAACTCTTTACTCGTCTTTGAGGGAATCTTCTCGCTACTTTAACTTTGACTCAGAAACAGCCAAGCTTGCTCGAGATGCTGATGAGTGGCTTGCAACGCATCCCAACGGTTCGGGATCTAAGGAGAAAGATGTCAACGGTATAAGTCGACCTTCGTCAATTGCCCCAAGCAACTTTAGTGTTCGATCTTTACCAGCAGACTACAGTATGCCAGAGTATCATGGTAGAGACTTTCCTCATCCTGTCATGGGCTCAGTGCGTCACAACTCGATTAGACCTCGATCTGCTGCTCCAACAGAGAGCACTGAGAAGCTTCGCTCATCCCCTCCTGTGGACAGTGTTGAGCCCACGGGCCCTGATCAAGAGTACCCTACTGGAGTGAAGCTCGCCTTGATCACCCTCGCTCTCTGTCTCGCCGTCTTTGTCATGGCCCTAGGTAAGTTCCCTGTCCCCGATTAACAGACCCCACTCACACATCAGACAACTCCATCATTGCAACCGCAATTCCCAGAATCACCGATGCCTTCGAAAGTCTCAACGACGTGGGGTGGTACGGCTCAGCATACATGCTCACAACGGCCGCACTGCAACTGTTCTTTGGTAAACTGTATACCTACGGCAGCATCAAGTGGACCTTTCTGTCAGCCATTGCTATCTTTGAGGTCGGTAGCCTCATCTGCGGTGTCGCCCCCGACAGTGTCACCCTCATCGTGGGACGAGCTATCGCCGGCGTCGGTGGCGCTGGCATATTTGCTGGTGCGCTCACCATCCTTGCCTTTTCTGTGCCTCTTCACAAGAGACCTATCTATACAGGTCTTGTCAGTGGTATGTGGGGTATTTCTTCCGTCGCTGGGCCTCTGCTTGGTGGTCTCTTTACAGACAAGGTTTCATGGCGTTGGTGTTTCTACATCAATCTTCCTATCGGCGCCATCACCGTCGTTGTCATTCTCTTCTTCTTCCCCGAGCCCGAGCGTGATATCGAGCCTGCGACATGGCGCGTTCGCTTCTGGCAGCTTGATCCTATCGGGACTGCCATCTTTATGCCCGCCATCGTGTGTCTTCTGCTGGCTCTGCAATGGGGTGGTGTCGACTACGACTGGGATGAGTCAGTCATCACGTCCCTCTTCATGCTGGCTGCCTTTCTTCTCATCTTGTTTGTCTACGTGCAGTACAAGATGGACGAAAACGCCACTGTGCCTCCTCGTATCTTCAAGAAGCGCACCGTCTGGGCTGGCGCCTGGTTCTCATTCAATACGGGCGCTTGTTTCCTCACTGCCATGTACTTCCTGCCAATTTGGTTCCAGGCAGTACAAGGACAAAGCCCTATCATGTCGGGCGTGAGAAACCTTCCGATGCTTCTCGGCATCGTTCTCTGTGCCATGGTCGCTGGTGCAGCCGTCACTGCCTGGGGCTACTACACGCCCTTTATGATTGCCGGCTCTGTCCTCATGGCCATCGGCTTCGGCATCATCACCACATTTGAAGTCGAAACATCAACAGCCAAATGGATAGGCTACCAGCTCATCGCCGGCATTGGCGTAGGCGTTGGTCTTCAGCAATCTCTCATCGCCGTCCAAGTCGTCTGCGAAATGGTCGACGTCCCCACAGCCACAGCCCTCATCGTCTTCGCTCAAACCCTCGGCGGTGCGCTCTGCGTCACTGCTGGAAACACTGTCTTTACCAACACGCTCATCAACAAGATCAATGAGCATGTGCCCGGTCTAGACCCGCACTTTGTCATTGCGACTGGTGCGACCAACATTCGCAGTGTGATCAGAGAGGAGTGGCTTGATGGAGTGATTCTCGCGTACAATGACGCGCTGACAACGAGTTTCTATGTTGGTGCTGGAACCGCGTCGGCAACGATCATTGGTGCGCTGTTGGTGGAGTGGAGGAGCGTCAAGGGTCATGAAATTGAGATGGGAGCGGCTTAGATAATGGTCTGTAGTGTCTTTGTGATGGTGATGCTTGATGTCGGAGTTGAGAGAGGTGACGGGTAGAATAAAATGAGGTCGGAAGGGTAGATGGCAGCAGAGCGGTCTAATGAATGATGATGATTTGTTTGATCTTAATTTGGATGAGACTGTTGTTTGATGTTACGTCCTGTTTATGCTGAAATGCGGACATGAAGGTCTCAAATTACCCTGCACCTAATCCGTAGAAACACTTTCAGTCTTTCTTCTCGGGACTTCTATGATTTTACAAGTCTCTAATTCCTTATCCTTATCCGAAATTATATTCTCTAAGCAATCATTGTTTCTGGGCTATATCGGAATTGTGATAGCCATGCTTACCACTCATCTTCAAATCGAAACATGTTATATATTCAATTGGAGTCTAGTGTTAGGCCATGCATGAGATACAGAATCGAGAGCAGCATCCCTGCACATATTCACAAGTCGGAAAAATAAAAGTAAGATATAGAGTCCCTTTCAAAAGCCAATTCATAAACAGTACACTTCAATTCATTGTCCTCAATTGAGATATGTCGTCGCGATTAAGCTGTGTCCTTCCATCTTCAAAAATGCAAGCTCTTAAGCTTAAGTGCGTGGAGCCAATGAAAAGTCGCGATAAGTGCGGGGATCGGCCATTCCCGCGGGATATCACATGACGTGCCACAAGCGAACCAACGCAAAAGTGGGGCGATATCGAAACTCAGATCCTCACCAAAAACAACACGAAAATGCCTCACCAGCATCACCAACATCAAAAAGAATTAACCTGGGCTCCACCGGGGATTGAACCCGGGACCTCCTGCAAGCTTAATTAGCCCAAAGCAGGAATCATACCGCTAGACCATGAAGCCAATCGTAGTTATTATTACCAGAATCGTAAAAGAACAATATGATCGTAGTGTTGAGGCGAAAGAGAGTCTCAGCCCCCGCCAGCAGTTTCCTCCAGTACACGTTCTCATGCTCGTCAAGGTCACTTTTTCCTGTTTTGAACAGGACAACCCTATCGTGGTATCCCAAGCTTATGGAACTGAAAGCTGGCAACACCATAGCAAATTGGAGTAGACACACTTCTCACGTGACCAGCCACGTTCTGTCCCCTTGTAAGCATACAGATTGCTCTTCTGGCATACCGGTACACCTTTTGCTGTAGTTTGTCAGATGAGGCTTTCCGGACCTTCGGATCTCCCCCGCATCACCAACACCGAGTGGGGCCCTCACAAACCAACCGCACTGAAATAGCACGATGACTTGTTTCTTACCATCATTCATTATACGTAGAAATATATTGATGTAAAAGGCGATATATAATCGCGTCTTACTAAATGAGAATACATCGATAGCCAAAGGTACGCGTGACAAGCGGGATCTCTCATACCAACACAAGCTCATGGGTTGCCTGCTTGATTCAGTATTCGCATTGCAAACTCACCAGCCTCATTTACTCACTTGATGGATTCCGCCGCAACCACCAAGGCCGAGGCGGATACTCATCTAGAAACTCTTCCTCAAAAGAGGGGCGTTAGTAGGAAACAACCAGAGGAGTCTATACTGGTACAAAGTCTAGACTGTGCACTTAGAATGCGTGTATCTTTATCCAGGAGTATAGTGTCTTGTACTGACTACTTACCATTAGCGTTTCAGGTCAACTCTATAAAGCTTCAACCAATTTCATTCTCGAGTTACTCCAGAATGCAGATGATAACCTGTATGGTTCTGGAATTGTGCCCAGTCTACAACTGGCATTGCCCAATAATGAAGAGCAGATATACTTGAGGTCTGACTGTAACAAAGTTGGCTTCACTTCGGATAGCTTGACGCCCTGGCATGAGTCGGCCCAAGTACCAAGGCCGCCACCATCAACGGCTCAAAGTCGTACATGCGCGAGAAGGGCATCGGGTTCATGTCCGTGTTCAAGTCCGTGTTCAAGGTAGCTGCAGCGGAACTTCAAGTGCCTGGCCCTGATACCCATTTGAGACCCGTAGGCCGCAAGGTATCCCTACTACAGAGCTAAAGCGAGAATGTCCGCATCTCGACTTTGTAATCCTGAGTGCAACTGGGGGTTTTATCAGGTCTGGGCGTCTTGAATACCTGCAACACAACAGCAACTTTCGAGAGCTCTAGAAGCTTGCACAGCTGCAAGCAGATGAGGCAGATAAGGATGCAGTCAGAGAGACATTGAAAATTGAAACCAAGCATGCGGCCCAAGTCGAAGGACATAAAGTGAGTAAGGTCATGAACAGCAATCGCTTTGGTCACATGAAGGTTTTACTACTCGAGGCTGGCGTGGACGTAGTCACTGACTGGTCCCATGACACGACGCTTCATCTTGAGGCCAAGACAACACTAGGTCTTTGCAGTGAGTCACATTTCGTGTCCTAGAATCCACTCGACAAGGTATGAAATGCAGTGATTGGGATGACATGTATCTTTGTGCTAACGCTTTAGCAGATGCGCCAGTATGAAGTGGATTTGGACGGCCTTTATGTCGGGTGAAGGAAGTAAAGTGTATGGGTTGATATAAGATTCAACAATGGTCGAGGCTCAGCGCCAGCAGTTAGTGCTATACGATTGATCAAGCATCCAATGCAGGGGAGTGTATTGGGTTTCTTGGGCAAAGCAGTAATGCATTTGCCACAATCAGAGTGACAGCACGCAACAGTGAATTCGTGATTATTTCCACTGCTGTCCACTCCAGATAATGCCACATAGAAATAAAGCGAAACCATTCATCATGAGTTACTATAGAGCTGCCAGACACACCCATTCTCCACGAAATCCTCCCACGATTCAAACTGTTTCCCCAAGTCCGTTTCCTCCATTCCTTCCCGCAGAAGCGCCCTTACGCAGGTTGGTTCATGGACGCAGATTTTCACGTATTTGTCGCAGTGAAGACATTTCGCTACTAATCCGCAGTTTTTCCTCCTGTTGTTGACCAAGGGTGACTCAATGGCGATGTGACTCGCCTCCAAGCACTTTGGCTTGCTGCACAGGTGGGAAAGGTGCTGACTCTGGTCAGCGTGGAGACCGACAGACCAGGCCAAGACTTGGTGCAGCAGGGCAAATTTGCTGGCGCCGTTTTCCGAGACCTGGACGTAACCGTCGCTCTTGTTCGGGACCTTGGTCGAAACCCGGCAGAAGCCGTCCCGAGAAGAAGCATTGACGATCTTATCTTCAGTTTTCCGTGCTGACTGCGTCGGCGACGACTCGAATCGACGGCGCGTTGCCGCGCGTGCCTAATCAAATCGCCTGTCGGCGTTCGTTCAAGCTTCGAATTACCGTAGCTCGAGGAGATCAAGTTGGTGGGGATGGGGAACACAGTAGAGACTCACCTCTTGTGGCGTTAACTTCTCCCGTCTGCGCGGGCGATTCTGGCGCTTCTTCAGGCGTCGGGGTGCAGCGGGCTCCGGACGCGAGGTATGGGCTGATGAAGTTCCCCTCTCCTGATTTTCGACAGCAGTCATGGCTTCAGCGTCTATATCTAGGTATATCAGTAATGAAGTCTCTTTAAAGATAAAGTCTGAACGCACGGATTGTATGGATTCAGCATCTTATAAATCGAATGTGTGTGTGGTATGAAGAGACGAAGATGACCTGCAACAAGAAGACTTGGTTTTGTTTGGCAGGCTGAGATTTGGCAAGAGCGGAGGGTCTTGGTAGGCAATGCATATCATGCGCTGGCAGTTCTCGTAGAGCTTGCAACGTCCCAGCAACCTCAGGTTTGGAGATAGGGACAAATGCTGTTAAAGATATAGCTATAGAGACGAGTTATGGCATCGAGAGATCTAGGGATAATGTCATCAAGGCCAGAAACAAATTTCGGAATGGATCGCAAATGAGGCTCAACTCGGCCAGGGTCAATGCGCTACCTGTGAGGTCACGAGGCTGGAGCCCTCTACTCCCCTACAGTACATGATGCCTCGAGGAGACTGTGGGAATCACTACATGAGAGAAGTACCTGCTCGACTTTCTACGAAACCACACATTCAAGACCGAGGATCTCATAGTGTCTATGCTTCAAGCAGGACCATAAAATCGCCTAACGGCCAAAGAGACCCTGCAACAGGGTCGCTGGAAGGTTCCCCTGATTCTGGCCCAAGCGGCTTGTTGCTCTTCCGTTTTTTCACCTTGACTCGCTTGAGGCTGTGGGAGAACTAACGATCACCAGTATCAAGACTGAATCTTTCATTAAACTTGTTCTATCGAGCTGATGATTCGTGTATCTAGAATAACTCTTTCGCTTCATTCTTTCATCACATTCCGCATTACTATGGCTATTTCTGGAAATGTCCGATCTGCAGCGCTCCGACCATTCACGCTTCGCTCCATACCTGTTCAACCATGTCTTACCAGGAACATACATACTAGAAGACGCCAACGATGCCCTTTTTTCTTGGGCTTTGGAGTAGGACTCTGAACCCCTGGAGGATCTGTTCTTTGGTCCTGGGCTCTGGAAGCCCGGTGCTGGTGCCCCTTTTCATGCCTGGTGGTGGTAGACCAGTGACTGGATAGTCACCAAAGTTCCCAATTGAGAGCCTCTTGTTCAGGGCATGCTTGTTATTGCCAGGTCACACCATAGCCTTATGCTTCAAGTGCAGGGAATGAGGTAATTTAAATGAACCGTTCTCTGGCGTGTCTTCTTCTTCTATCTTCGATCGCAGTGGAGGGGTTCATTTTAGGGTTGTGCCCATGGATTGGCATCCCGGCGGTTGAGCATTTGTTGCTTGCGTTGTTGCCTTTGCTGACGGGGGGTGCCCATCTGTCGGTTTGGCAGGCTGTCGGCTGCGGGATATTGCCTTATAGAAAGTTGTTCTGTGGAAGCCGTTCATTGTGAAGTCGTTAGGTTGTCGCTAGTCGTTGTTGTTGTTCGCTGTGTTCATCTTAGCGAAGTTGCTGGCCGTCTGGTTCTATAGAAGTGCTTCCCGCCGCCGGACTGGAGGGAGACTCGAATAGTACCTTACTCATCTTCGTCCTGATTGGACACGGATAGGCACATGCACAGTTTTCCAGACCGTTAATCTTAACTGCTTGTGATAAATATTTAACCCTTCACTGGACTTCTAGCATTCATTTACTTCAAAACCTGGATTGAACTGCTTTTCCTGTGTTGGTACCTCTAATGCTCGTAGAAATCTCACTTCATGTCGAGCCTGGAGCTATCTTGGGTGAGACCACAATTCTCATGAGTACAGGAACCATACCACCCAGGCTTAGCATTCAACGTTTTGACATAGTATTGACGAAGGAAGGTATTATATGATACATCAAATGCCTTCATTGGCATGCGTTTCTAATGCCGTCAAGGCTATCAATGGTTGGCAAGTTTATCACCGTCAGATGTTGCCATCGAAGCCAGGTAAAAGCGAGCAAGGCCCTCGTGATGACGATATAAGAGCTGGAACAACTGTCCTGTCAAAGGCTTAACGAACGGTTTCCGAGGCAGCCAACTAGATAGCTATGTGGGTGGCAGGCTTGAGGATCGGTCATCTTTCGTGTATCAACTGAGGTAACATGACGTTGGAGTCAGTTGGGTACCTGTATGTGCATGCAAGGAGGGAGATACTACACGCATCTTACAACAATATTGTCACCAATCCTGAGTCCATATACCAGTACGCTGCACCGTTTACTCCACTTAATACCATTACACGCTGTAGATGTTGATTCTGAGCAAAGATTTAGCAAGTCTACCAAAGCCAACACAACGTGCGAGACCTCTTATTCTCCAATGTAACCATGGAACATGACCTCTGCAAAAGTCTGCAACAAAAGAGAGTCTACCCGAGTTCTATCACTCTACACCGCGCAGCGGAAAGGAGATGTGGTTGTGAAGCTCATCCCACTTGATAGAGAACAAGCCCTTGAAGTTGCCATCCCGAAGAATCTTGCAGTCCTCCTTGTGATCGTTTTCCTTCCACCCGCGAAGCTGACACTCCTTGCTGCAGTACCAGAAGAAACCACACTTGGCACACTTCATCAGCTTAGCCGCCTTCTTGTTGCACCCGTGGCAGGTTCTCATCCCGTCGGTGAGGGTGGCGTGAGTTTGAATTTTGTCGCTGAGCTGCATCACGTTGTCGAGGGAGATGGGAAAGATCTGCATAAGGATTAGTATGAGAAGACTCAGAGAGAGAGAATACAAACCTTGAGGTACTGAAGGTCCTCATGTCGGATGCCGATGGTCATGTCCATGAAGAGATGCTTGACAGCATAGAAGATCACGACGGTGTTTCCGACCTGAAGGTTCGAGGGGCCAAGCTCAACACCACGAGCTTCAGTGTGGATGGCGATCGGAATCTCAAGACCATCTCGGTCCTTGACGGTGAGTCTAACGCGGAAAAGGATGTCGACCTCGACGATCTCGCCGATGAAGACCCAGTGCTTGCGAGGCTCCCAGAAACCGTTGTCTCGCTGGCGGTAGTAGTCCTCGTCGAGTTGGTTGTCCCAGGCGAGGTCCTCGAATCCGGGGAAGTGCTTTTTGTCTTGCAGATTCGCGAGTTGGGTGTTGTTGGAAGCCATGTTGCCTGGTAGCCAGGGATGGCTTGATGTCACTCGTCGAGATCTTTGAGCAGACTTGTGATGGCACAAAAAGATTTGGAGGATTTGTGAGAGGAGAAGTGGGAGATGAGGGAGAGGGAACTAGGAAGAATTTATGGCAAGGTGGTGGGGACGCCGGCTGTTTGGACACGGCTGGGTGCAGCGTTTGTCGGCCCCCTGCAGTGCAATAAACAAACACACAGCTTGGGTCTCTCCTTGTACTGAAGGGCCTCCAATGGGCTAGGTTCTCTCTGCCTGAATAAGCTCACAGCCACAAGTCTCAACTGCAAATAACACTTCGCCTCCAATGGGCAAGAGTCTTCCCAACTCTGACTTGTAACCGGTTTACCAGCCTATGATTTAATGACTCTACGTTGTCATGCTTACATGAGGGTCTCCGTGGTTGATTACATCCATTTAGTGGTAAGGACTGCTGGCTTGATAGCGTAAACAACAGAGCTTCTATGTCAGTAACTGCAATGTAATAAGATAGATTTATCTTCACAGAGATCAGGATATCACAGATAGAGTTGGCAACTCACGCCATCATGCCGGCCTATACCAGTGTTATGATCGGTAACATATGGTGAATATAAAAAAGAGTGAAAAAAGGCAAAAATATGATTCTTCCGCTCCTCGGATTTGAACCAAGAACCTTATCGCGAGTGGAGGTGGCCCCCGGAGGATCCCTTATACCCAGTAACCTAGGTAATTCTGCGATATGTGCTCACCATTACACCAGAGCGGACTTTTCCTGATTGTTGATAATGAGATATGTATTTTTGGTCCATATAGGATGAACAAAGGCTACTCATGATTAGGAAAGCGACATATCTCCATAAACCTCTTTCAACTGCTCCTAAGTGACACTCTTTCCATACATAAGCCTTGCAACATCCTCCCGATAAAGAGACTTCCTCTGAGTGAAGACATATACTAAGGATATGAGAGTTTGCTAAGTTTGGCAACTAACCGGCTTACCAGTCAGTCTATGGTTTGAATGTCCATATACATCGTGACGCTTATGTGAGGTTCTCCAATGTTTTTCATTGCTTCCATTTGCTAGTAAGGACTGCTGGGCATAATAGCGCAGGCAACAGAGCTTCTGTTTGGAGTTATTCAGTACTTCAGTTAGAAATCCGCAAAATCTAAATAGGTATAGACACAAAAGAATCTGGATAGCAAACGGCTTCCACTATTGTGGTTCAATTTTAGATTGTTCCCGTCTCGTCATCCCCTCACATTCCTTGATCCAGCTTCTGTGCTTCACACATCTTGGCATATGTTCCATCTTCATTAACAAGGTCTTCATGGCTCCCACTCTCAATAACCAATCCTTCGTGAGAAACGAAAATGCGACTTGCTTCCCCAATAGTCGAAACGCGGTGGGCAACAGCTACGGCGATTCTATTCTTTGTTGTCGCTGCGTCCAATAAGGCTGCTTGGACGACACGTCTAGACTAAATATCGAGTGCACTTGTTGCCTCATCTAACAGTATCACAGGACAACTGTAGTTGGGGATATGAGAGACTGGGCATTCTCTGGTCAGCATCATTGGTTTGTATAGTTATTGGCGTTCCTCCTGCCTTCCAACAGCCAATCTTTTGTTGTCACCGGCCACCATCGAATGATGATCCGATGACTCCCTACCGCTGAACGGAAGTCATGGCTCCTTAGCGCTACATTGAGGGTCTATCGGGTTCTGGAGACGCGGACGGCCGACCAAACACGGTGATGTCGAGAGACCTTGTGTCCATTAGCGAAAGTAAAGGAGTCCATGGAGTCGGTTCTAACAGTTACGAGTCAAGTCTCCTCCGTAGTGGCGATGCGCTAGGGAGTTGATTATGGAGAAGGGACGCTACCACTTCGGCCACCGGGGACCCGGCCCCCGGCTTCGTCGACGCAAAACCTCACATAGTGGGTCTGGTTGATATGTTAAAACACGGCGATGACTATTCCGGGTGTGTCTGGCCGCTTTTCTGTTAGCTGGTTTGATCTATTTAATGTCTAGTACATCTCCTGAACAAGGTCCTATCAATTGAAAACAGACCACAACAATAATCCCATCCAGATTTCGTCAATAGCTAACATGGGATTCAAAGTCATCATAGTCGGAGGCAGCGTGTCGGGCCTGTCTTTGGCCAACATGCTCGAGAAGTTCAGCATCGAATATATACTCCTCGAGGCACATCCAACGATCGCCCCCCAGCTTGGAGCGAGCATGGGTCTTCTCCCTGGTGGCTTGCGCATCCTCGACCAGCTCGGCTGCTACGACCGCGTGCGGGAAATAGTCGGAGACTGTTGCTATTACCAACCAAGCCTTCGTCTCTTCAATGGCAAGATATTGAACAAGAAGAAGCCTAAAAGCTTTTCTGAGCAGTTAGAGGACCGGTATGTCCTTGAAATTGAGAACTAGTTGATTACGCTGACTCAAGTGTTTCAGAACCGGATATCCCCAGATCTTCATTGATCGGCAGATGTTCCTTCAGATCCTTTTCGACAACATCCAGTCCAAGGATAGAGTGATGACGCGGAAGCGCGTTGTGTGCGTCGAAACAGCCGAGAACCACGTTTGCGTCCATACTCAAGATGGCTGTACTTATACTGGAGATATCGTTGTCGGTGCTGATGGGGTCCATAGCGCTGTCAGAAAGGAGATGTGGCGAAACGGCGTCGAATCAGATCCAGGCTCATTCTGGCTAGATGAGGACAAAGGTTGGTGATCCCGAATTTATTAGCAATGTTGTTGTGAACTAACCAATGGCTTTCCTTCTCTAGCGCTTGCGGCCGACTCAAAATCTATCTTTGGCATTTCCAAACGGCCGAAGTCCCTACCTACTTCTGCTTTGCAAATCAACTCATTCTTCGACGGTCGCAACTACATGATGCTCTCAGCACCAGGGGATCGACTCTATTGGTTTATGTTCCAAGATATGAGTAGAACTACTGGCAGTGAGATTCCCAGATTCACGATCGAGGACGAAAGTAATCTCGCAAGAAAACACTTTGATGATCAAGTCACAGCGTGCACGACCTTTGGGGACGTGTATGAAAATCGATTGAAAACGGCACTCGTCTCTCTTGAGGAGCACGTTTTTGCTCGGTGGTATTTCCGGAGAATCATCACCATTGGAGACGCAGCTCACAAGGTATGAGGCATCAGCATCAGCTCAGGTCATGGAAATAGGTTAACGTGTGTGTACAGGTTCACCCCAACACTGCCCAAGGCGGCAACGGCGCTATCGAAACGTCGGCAGTTCTTCTAAACACTCTCTTACGGCGATTAGACGACACATCGAAACTGTCAGAACAGGATATCGAGGACGTTTTCGCAGAGGTTCAGACCAAACGTTTTGCCCGCGCCGCGAATGCTCTCGAACAAGGCCGCCACACGTCATCAATCTCGACGCGCGATACATTCGCGTCGAGATTCTTCGTACACTATTTACTGCCCTAGTTTGGGGATCGTATAATTATGTGGCTCGCCGTCAAGCATGCTCAGACTGGTCCTGTGCTTGAGCAGCTGCCTATTCCTAATCGGCATGGCGTCACTTTGAAGCACGCTGGTACTGTCGAGAAACCTCGGAGCTTAAAGGTCCTGTGGGGGCTCGGAGCATTTGTAGCAATGGTTTTTGCAATGCTTTTTCACTTTACTAGAGGATCGGATTGGATGAGCTCTTTTGCGACATTGTCTAGAGGGTATCGAAGCTGTATGTAAACCATTAAGGATGTGCTCATTTTCTTAGACATTTCCTAGATATTAGATCAGGCCCAATTAGATTTGCTCTTGGTGCTTTTTGCATGGCCAGTTAGTGGCTAAGAGACACTTTGAAACTAAGTGTAGCAACCTTGACTAGAACAGCTCTCGGCGCAAGCATCCTAGATACTGACTCTGAGGTTTGAACTGACTATCTCAGTTTGTCTATTCTACAAGATGACATACAAGCCTTTCACAGTCTTGTATTAATAATGTGGTGAGTCTTAAAGTGCTCTTCTAGTTATTCATTATCTATGTCATGCTATCTAGCTTGCAGGTGAAAAGCGATCAGGGAAAGTCCCAGAAGACTGCATCAGAGCTTCATTACTATACAACCACTCTTCCAACTGTGCTCCATGCCCTGTGCGAATCATTGGGTTCATCAACATGGGCCCGGTGGTCACTGTATCTCCACCTCTTGTAGCATCGAGGTTGTGGCCAAATCCCAGCCCTTGCTCCTCATTACCATCGCCCCCCCACGAGGTTTGCATGCCCAGTAACTTGAGATACGTATCCATTTCTTCAGTATCCTGTGGGCGAGGGTCGCGCGAGGCTGAGAGCTCAACATAGCGAGTGGCAACGCTGTAGAGGACCTGGAATAGTCGATGCAACTTGGTTGCAGCGCTCGAGGCAGCGGCAGCAGGCTGGATAGAAGCGACAAAGGTATGGAGGCGGTTGAGGTCTTCCTTGTCTTGGGCTTCAATTACCTGGCAGAAAATGACGATAAAGGGGATGAATGGAGCGAAGAGAAGAGTCCTGCTTCCGTTAATATTCGGAACTGAAGCTTAGTCGAGTCAGTGACACGCACCAATGAACATAGGTTGGGAGTAAGTCTTGACTGCTCCTTTCGATGATTTCTAGGCAATCATGATGCCTGTGGAGAGTAGCTCTAGCAGCTTCGACACAATTGGACCTGAACGTTGTTAGAGCCCCAGTCTGTTGTGGAGCGGCTCGATAGACGAGAGTGAGCAGTGACAGTCGAAGGATATCGTCTGAGACGGCGAAGAAATCCATCAAGTCCTTGCCAGAATTATCTTTGGAGATCTGGATCCAATTCTTCTAAAATTGATAGATCAGACGGATGGTGTATTTTCAGTTTGGGCTCTGTATACTTACATGAGTTTCTTTCGTGGCCTGCTCCAACATGTGTAGATCGTTCACAAGAAGCTGAACCTGAGTATGTCTGACGTGCTCAGGCTGGGTAATAGCTTCGGGGCAATACAGAAGCTCGTAGATATTGCCCTGACAGCGCGCAGCTTCGATCCAGAGTACGAAATACGCCATGACTGGTTCTTGATGGGGATCACTGATTGCTGGTCGGTGTGTTGTGAGATCCCAGTCGAGAATGGTGGATGCTCGACCAAGGCGAAGGCACAGACTCTTATCGAGGAAGTGGTTAGTCCAGAACAGAAACTTCCTAAACTTGGCGTCATCGCTGTTATCTGTATTAGGAATTCTGTGATAGCCCAACGTCTGGCACACCTCTGAGGCCTTGCTGGACAATGCCCAGGAGAGATATGGTTTCGAGAGCTCGATCGCGTGCCAAGCCTATTGTCTGGTCAAGATAGATCCTAACTTTAGTTTCGGTGTCAACTTACGCCAAAGAGAAGAGCCGTTATAGCCTCTGGTGTTGTCGGCAGATGAAGTGGCAGATCATAAAGTGCTGTCTCAAGGTTCTCGCGGCACATACGGGCATATCTTAAGCAAGCGTCCCTTTGGCCTGAAGAGACATGATAGCTATAGTCTGAGAAGAGAGAATAAAAGCCAGCGTTGGCAATGATGAATTCCATCTCGGAGAAAGTATCGGAGAAGTAAACCTGGAGGCAAATATCGGAGAAATCTCGCATGAGCATGAACTCGTATATGAAGCCTGTTCCTGCTAGTCTCTGACCTGTTGAGGGCTTATTAGAATATAGTGGTACAGTAGAAAACGGATCATGGCACCTACTTTTTGCAATTCGAATGAGCTCAACTGCCTTTTCGATAGGAGGCAGCTCATAGCCCGATGGGCGTGGGCGTTGGCTCGGTCGGGAGTGAGGATACGCCATTTCATTAGCGAACGTTTGCTCTTTCAGTGTTCCAACGACGTGTGACAGTGCGCCCAGTGTGTTTCTCATGTCTGGGCCAAAACCTGGGCTGGGTTCGGCGCTTGCGACTTGATGCATCAAGTTACTAGCAAACGCAGAGTGGGCGGCTAATGAGGACTCTCCTTCAACACCCAACACCGCAGAAGGCGTTTGCTGGATATTTTGGCTCGATGGACTTGAAGGAACTGTCGATACGTGCGCAGCTCGTCTCGGTAAAGCGGCACAACATCGACTGGGTTGTTCATTTTTGAGATCGTGGAGTAGGCCAAGGACTTGGTCCATGCGACGATCGAGCTGGTCAATTTTCTTCTCACTGAATGAAATATGATGTTGTCAGATACTTAAAAGTAGAAGATATTGATGAGAGATAGCATGAGATTTCAAAGTGACGTACTACTGTGGAGTGACTAGGATGCGGTTGCGTTTCTCCCTAGGTTTCTTTTCGGTAACGACACATTCGAGTTTGGTGTTAATGCAGTGAGAGCATGGGTACTGCCTATCACAGCGGATCTATCATGCAGATTGTTAGCGCTGAGTGTCCGGGGATAGACTTTAGAAAGCATGGGAGCTAGGGTATGGCATGAAATGAGGCAGAGAGGTGCTGTCAGCATACCTTGCGAACGCGGCAGTTCTCGCACTATGAATAAGTCAGCTTCGCCGTCGGGTGAATAGTCCAAGATCATGAGTTATGACAGCGTAGAACTAACTGCAGGTCGAATGTGGACGTTGGAACTTGGTGACGGGGCCGCTAGCGTGTCGTCACCGTGAGCAGCTGTATCCGTATCCATGAAGAATGGGAGGACAGGAGTGGCGGGGAACTGGGATTGCGGGCAGCGACAGGAAGCATGGAACTTGGGACCGTCAGAACGATGTTGGCTCAAACCCGGCGAGATGACAATGGCGAGTGTACGAGTCACACCGAGTTGCGGGCACCGGGGCCCGGAGATCCGGGTGCCGAGTAGCTTACATGAATATCGATATGCATTTGGTCCAGGTTCTATAAGTGGGTCCCTTGTGCATCTTCCTGTCAGGCTTCGCTTTCTATCTCGATATAAATCTTAAGACTAGACGCAAAGGCAGGGCATGGCTGGCAGGAAGACGTCTCACTGCTCCATGGATCAGATGTCCCCTTACGTGGTGCAGTTTTCCCTCAGACATTCGCCTCTTTTTGTCATGATTCTATTTGGTCAGGAAATGAATACATAACAGGTATAGGTAATTAGGGCTTGCAGGATATATTCATACTCTGCAGCAAGAGCTGCCAGTCCTCTCAAACATCCATTCCATAAATCACCAGTAGTAGGTCTATGACAGAGGCCTATGCCCATGGTATGACTTCAGGAGTAGAGATAATATATAGTTGAGTAGACAATGGCTAACCGCAGCTAAGAAAGAGGCATCGCACCGTACACCTCTTTCAACTGGTCCCAAGTAACGCTCTTTCCATAGATAAGCCCTGCTACCATCCTCCCAGCAAAAATACTTCCTCTGGGTGAAGACATGTACTGGCGATAAGTAATCTCTGCACTTTTCGAAGCCATGTAGGTGGAAAGGGGCGTAAGATTAGACTGCCCAACAATGTCGAAATCGAGGTTATCAAGAGGGGGTTTTCTTTCTTGTCCTTGCTCTATCTCCCTTATCGATTGCACAACAAGACTTTTAAAGTCGATCATGGGTTGATTCTCCTCATCCGACATCCCTGGAAAGGTGGTGAATTCTGGACATACTGACAACTGCTCGAGAGGAGCAGCTTGCGCACTACTCCAATCAATGATTCCAGTCAAATTGTACTCTTTGTCAAACAGCATATTGCCATAGTGTAGATCGAGATGACACAAAGGAAACGGGCCTCGGACCCTTTCCTCCATGATCATGTGGGTGAGACCTGATTTCAGTACCCAGCATGCTGTTAACCAGTCTGGATCGCCCGGATGCAAGTCCATCGATTCCCGGTTTTCGGCTTGTCTCTGGTTGTAGAAATATTCAAACGAAGTGTCCAGAGGTCCCGGAGAAGCATGCCAATCCATAGCTATGACTTGCACAGGCTGATCAGCTCCATCTCCGCACCAGAGGCGCCCAATGCGGCTGAAGGTTAGGTTTTGAAGTTCTGTAAAGACGTTTGCGAGCTGCTTCGCCACTTTGGGACGATGTTCGGAAGGTATAGCTTTCGCCAGGCCATTCGGAAGGGAGCGGCCACGATGCTCCATGAACATGTATGGGTAACCAAAGGGCTGGTCTGTAGACATCTCAAAGTCGAACACTCGAGGAATAGGGATGGTAGTGTGTTGTTGGATTATCTTCATTGTGGCAATCTCACTGAGTAATGATGTTTTGTCGTTGTCGTTCAGTGTCTGATGAGGAATTCGAGCTACCCAGAACACATTGTCTGAAAATGTAATTTCTAGGACAACATTGTTGAACCCAGATGTGAAACGCTTCAGGTCGATGCTGCAAGAAACATCTAGAGACAAGCTTGGCTGGTGCTTCCCCCGCGACTCTATCGCGCGAGTCTCGAGATATTCGAAATTTGCTGAAGAGAATAAGAGCTGGATTCTCTTGTATTTCTCTGAATCTGGCTTCAGACCGTCAAAACCCTGCCAGTCGCTCCTTGGTCCCTCCATCTTGTCACTTTAGCTGGAAACGGTAACTTAGGGAAGAACTTGCCGAATTGCGCGGTTCGGAAGGAGTGAGAAGAGATAGAGGAAGCAACAAAGGAGCGGGAAGGCCAAGAGATCGATGTTGGTGCTAGGTTTGAAAAGTAAGGTAAGATAATCAAGTTTGTTAAGTTGGTGGAGGTAGGACTCTGGGCGGGTACTTCAGGGTTGTTATTGGTCATCTAGACGCACTACGAGATGTGGAGAGACTGTTGCTCAATCTGCCAATCAGAAGGGACCCCTTTGATTCTATGTGCAATATCCCATCGTGCAATGCTCTCATACTCGACATCGCAGCAACTTACTTCAACCCGTCGTCTAATGCTCAACCTTTGCGATGGCACTCCTAGGATTGCCCCCCGAGATACTCAAAAAGATCTTTGATCAACTTGACCCGTCATTCTTTAAAGAGGATCTAAGCCGCCTTACAGTCTGCAAGAAGTGGCTCGAGTTTGCTCTTCCTGCATGCCTCAAACACGTCACCCTCTCTCACAAAGCCCTACGAACTCTAGCTGCCTCTTCGGTAGCAAAAGGGTCTTCGCCTGTTGAAGGTCATCTGGAAAGAGTCAACATCGATATTCAAGGATTTCAACACGGCATCTCTACACACTCTCCCCAGGAATATGAGCAGGGTTCGACTTCACAACCTACGGCTCCATACATATATCCTTGGGACGACCAAGTCAGGGACTGGAGAGTGACCTAGATGATGGCCTTGCCCAACTTGCCATTGTAGCCCAGCAGTCTCCTCGATTGCGGACATTACGCATGCGAGCCTCAAGTTCCTCCTTGCAATTTCCCCTCTTTCCCCCCGGAGGCTATCTGTCACTGTCTACTATGCGAGCATTGCTCTCGGTGGAGAATCTGAGCGTTTTGGTGCCGGATCTCTCTGGAACGACCTTGAATTCTTCAGGACTGACGCAGGTGGACGAACACCATATCTGCCCATTCATTGGCGCCCTTCTTAGTACCCTCAAAACGCTTCACTTGCGCTTGTGCAGCATCTGCCCTGATGTATTGAAGACCCAGGGCCCCGATACGAAGCTGAGACTAAGCACTGTGGCGATCAACTTATGTCTGCCTCCAGATCAGCCGAGAATACTGCCGTGGAAACATTCAACACCATGCGAAGACCTGGCCGGTGGATTGACCCAATTGAGGGATGACATACAGGAACAGGCGGAAGTTCTCGTAACTCGCATGGAATCACCCAAAACCATAAGGATCTTGACACACCCCTTCCGGCAACTCGATACACAATCGCTGGATGTTTTGACTGGCAAGACAATGAAACTGGAAGATGATGCGGCATGGGATGAGGATGGCGAAACTATAACGGAAACTGTCTATGAGGACTGGGAATCAGAAGCAGACTTCGACACTCCGATTTTCCAAACTCCAGTTTTCCAAACTCCAGTTTTCCAAACTCCAGACGACGAATTTGATGATTTCTTGTTCGACTAGACATGTTTGAATAGTCAGGCTTCAGATCAGGTTCTCTTGTTGACTTGGCTTGCCATGCATGCGGATTGGCAATATCACCTCTCTGCCACCGAGCTTCAGTGCTTTTCTTCGGCTGATCGAGTGTATCAATCTATTCATCTAGAGACTAGACTACACAATAACGACTGGGCTCAGGTTGTTGACATCTAAGCCCTTTAATGCCTCTCCATGCATGATCCCATGAACATATGCCTCTCCTACTAACTTATACCGCCCGCCACCCATAGGTCGTAGCAGGCAAGGAACCTGGAAACCTTTCAAGATCCAAACTTCATCCCCTTCCCTTGAAGAGAGCAAAGCCCCATCCTAAGCGCCTCTTGTCTGTCACAAAGAGGCCGCGACCTTTGGCTGTCATGAATACTTCCTCTTTGACATCGAGACGATAGGCTTCCGGGCTACGAAACTCGAGCGAACTGTTATAAAGATTGGTTAAACATAATTCCCAATCAAGTGCTTTTTCCCGGCCAGATAAAATCTCAGACCTCAGCCTTGCAAAACCTTTGGGGTTCTGGGTATCAGTTGTACCGTATGGTAGTGCGCCTTTTATGATCTGCAGATTTGTAAATCTTTTCAAAGCATTATCTGTGCGAACTTTCCATTCATTCATGTCCATCAAATCATCAGCTTGTTCGCATAGCAAATCGGCCATCTCGAGATACAAAACCTGCTTCAATTCTTTGAATAATTCCTTGCCGCAAAGCTCTTCGGCAGGATATCTGGTATTCCCGATGTCCTTCATCATGGTTCGCCAGAATACCTCCGACCTGGACTGGCAGCTTGTTGCCTGTTCTGGGCTCGCCACGATTTGAACGGTGGTTGATATAACAGGTGAGCAATTCTTTGCATCATGTTCGTCTTTGTACGAAAGGTCTGTTGACGGCGATCCAATTGGGGAGCTTTCTGGCACCAAAGACATCAATTCAAGGACATCCTTAGTCTTTATATGTATTGCTGGATACGTCCGGTGAGCAAAATGTGGACCAGCATAGCAAGGCCGCTCGCTAACTGATTCGCCTTTCCAAAGATGTACTGCGTCAACTTGAGACCCGCGAAGCTCTATACAGTTAGATGGCAAGTATCGAATGTGGTTTTTGGGGGCTCTAGGACCAGCTGCGAACATACAGCCCCTCGCGACCAGTGGATTGTGACCAAGGTCTGCACTAAAGTCGGGGACCCATGATGGTAGAGACTTGATTCTGCGTAAGCTCTCGTCTTCCTTCTGAGAAAATCAGTCCAGATTGAACCCCTCAGATGACATGATGAGTTTGGTGGTGTCAATGTAAATCTCCTCAACGTTTTTGGAATAATCTGGGAGAATTTGGGGTCCTTTCTGATTTACGTCATTCTCTGTGATGCCTATAAAAGCATAGACGTTGTCTCTGGGATCCGTGGCTTCACAGGTTCGGAACATCCTAGTAACGGTGTCTATGGGAAGTGGTTGTTTCCAGTACTGATCGTGTGAATCAAAACTCCTGGTGCCTAGACGGTAGGTGACCTCGTGTAGTCTGTTGAAAAAGCTCGGAGTGGCTAAACTCCCGGAGTATTTGTGGTTGGCAGCAATAGTAAGCTTTCGAAACCAAGTAGAGTCGCCGAGAGATCTCACGAAGTTTGATAAGACCTCGAAAGGGGTAGCGATGGTACTAAATAGTGCATTTGACTTAGGGGCTAGGAGGGCTTCCTGAATGATCCATGACCTCTTGAACCAGGCTCGATTGAAAAAGTCAAGCATTCCACGAGCTTTCTCTGGACTGATTGGCTGAAGATTGAACCATTTGCAGTCATCTTCGTTCGTGATGTCAAATGACTTGAACATGTCACCATTAGGCCCGTCTAGTAATGGCTGAAATCGTTGAATGAAACGATAAGCATACAGTAGGTCTGAGATGTCTTTCTGATGACCTCCAAGCCATATCTGGACGGCGGCGCATTTGCGATATATTTGTCCCATGAGTTGAACCTGAGAGTTTTTCTCAACAATATCAGTCTGATTAATGCAAATCTGATCAATCCAAATATACTCCGACATGTTTGACAATGGTGTCGAGATGGAGCTTCCTCTTGATTTGGTAAGATGATAGCGTAAGGCGATTAGAGCAGTGTGCAGATTCGTTGTGATATTAACTCTCTGGCCATTGCAGGTTATACCGAACGGCGTTGTTGCCCAGCCGCCTGGGGCTGTTGAGTCTGAGCTGCTCCACTCACGGCCTAAAGGGTCACCCCAAGTATACGACAATGCATCGTATCTAGGACGGTTGTTGAGATCCTTGATCACTAGCGAACAGGTTATAGGTCGGAAGAAGTCTAAGTCATCTTTGATGCTAGGGAGAGGGTCGATTTTCAGAAGACGAATAGACGTAGGTGTTGGTAGTTTCTCGTATTTTAGTGGAGATAGATGAGTAGTAGGTGTAGGTATTTTTGGTGGCTCGATGAGATCTACTTGGAAAGACTCCATGATGAAGGTCCGAGTTGGTGATCATATGTTGAAGAGAGTTGTGATGCCATGAGATTTAGGAGAGGCTGTTGCATTATATAGTTACGATATGGCTGTCTAAGTAAGTGAATGAAATCCGGGCAAGTCAGAAAGTTACAGCAGCTATAGGTCAGAGATTAGTTTTCTTCTGTTATTTGTTGCAAACTTAGATACTAGGAAGTGACTGGCTAGTTGGTGAAACAGTTACCAGCAAGCCTGGCCATCTGATCGTACTTAACTTGTCATACAGGTAGACATTTAGGAAATCTGTGGATTGCTAGGTATGTTGAATTTGCCGAACATTGTATCATTACCTTTGAGTTGCGGACAAAGCTTTGTCTAAACACTTGGTCTTGCCATGATTGCTTAATCAAAGCTTTTGAAATTCGTAATCGCCCAGCCAATATATATTTTGCGCAATAATGTCTGTTCTTGACGGTGGGATTTATTATTCAAGGTACACTGAGGTACGCCCTTTGTTTTTCTTTTGCAAACGGGATTATCAACAGCAAACCAGGAAACAAATCAGCGGCATATTGATTGACAAGTAATGTAAGGCAACCTGCCCTGCGTAACAAACTCGTCGCCATGAAAGGCCGAGAACAAAGGAACATTTTTCCACAGTGAGTGTTGGACTTTCTTAGCTATGTGCTATAGGTTAATATAAATTTAGTGGGCTGTTGGTTTTATGCACTGACACAGATGATACTACCAGCAAGGAGTTTTCATAATACACACATAACTACCTATATAAAAACACTATGATAAGAGATGGGCAAAAAAGCAAAAATAATCTCAGAAGTTGTGCTTAGACTGGAGAACAATATTTGCCTATAAAATCAACGCTTTGCAATAATATCTCCTTTGCTTCTTCTTCATCCCAGTCTCCTCACTGCAACGTCGACGGCAACGGCGGCAAAACCGCTTGAATACGAACCCTAGTGAATTTTCGGATTCATGCCCTTGTCGCGAGTAAAAGGGGCGCGGCAACTAGACCCAAAACCGATTGGACCATCTCTGGGCGGGAGAGATCCTTTTGAGATACGCTGTCGCCGATCGAATAGCATTCCCGTTTCATAACGAGGCTGCAGTTACATTGGGAAATGCGACGTGTTGAGTCAGAACAAAGGGGCTTATTGCTTTTACTTATAGGAGCGAAGCGAGTTGGAGTCCGAAAGAGGAGTAGTTGCAGTCTTATCCCTGTATTCTCCGACGGAGACTAAGGAGGGTTGCACTATGGAATTGGAGACGATGCGAGAATTTGCCGATGTTACGAGTCAAACTCTATCTACTGGATATGTTTCATCGCTGTGCTATTCGAGTCAGTGTCTACAAAGTTTCGCCACCATCTTGTCCGACACTTATTCTGCACGCAGATACAACCATGTTATCTCCAAACTGTCCAACGGCTTAACGGTGAGACCTAACAACTAGGCTACACTGACGGCATCGAATCCATGACATATTGAAATACCCAAATTACCTATCAACAAGCGAAGCAAGGCTGTTGTGGATTTCACTCGTCTAAGCTCTGCCCTAATGTTTCGAGACGAAGAAATATGCATTCATAACAAGCAAAACCCACATAACCAAGCATCACCCGAAGCGAACCGCCCTCCCCGTCTCCATAAGCATCCACAACGTTCATTTCAAGACTCCATTTTCCAAACTCTAATTCAAATACCGATGAAAGGCAAGACACATCCTTTCGGAGGGACAGTCTCTGTTTGAAGATGATCGTCGATATAGAATTAATCCGATTGGTTCCTCAAAAATAGTAGCTGTAGATCTAGTCTGGTTAATGACTCGTAGTGCCCGTCGGGTTTCAGCGGACCAACGGTAGATGCGCAAATTAAAAGCAGAGCAGCCTTGTTTTAGTTTGAGCTGACGACACCCGATGTGGAGTAGTGAAGAGATGTACAGAGTTTGGATGCCGTTGAATTTGCACAGACAATAGATCGTAGTGGCTGTTGATTCTGGAAGATGTCATACCTATCATGAGCATCCAGACATCTTTTAGAACAGAGTCCTCAAGATGTAAATGCTTATTCTTCCATAACAGTTTTTCATCCTCATATTCTCCACGATGCAACCGGATGCCCCATCTTCCGTGAGGTCCTCCCAGATGAATCCTTGGAGAAAGCCCAACTAGGGCCAGGGGCATTTACATACAATTTCACCACTCGGGGAACTAGTAGCCCACTAAAAGATCGGCACTGAAGAAATCCCAAATCCCATATCCTTGAAAAAAACAGGGCAAGGAAATGCCATTCACCGCTGACAACCGCTGACTCGTGTTCTCAGCTGCTGCCCAGTTATATAGACAGCGAATGATAGCATTGTCATATGCCGATGCTTAGTATAACGCCTGGCCGTTGGATCTGCATGGAACATATCTCGCCCTAGTTTAGTTCTTATCTCACAAGTCTAGTTCATAACGGTCCAAAACATCTGTGGATTTCACTAATGCACGTACATGTCGATCCTGGGCCGCGGGAGCAGAGCTCGTATATCATACATAGCACGATCCCCTCAGCGGGCGGTTCGCTAATCTATTTGATGCGCCTCTTTTTATGCTTCTCTTTTTTTGTAGTTTTTGTCTTCTGAATCTTGACGACTTGCCCATTACAAGATGGAGACGACACCGAGGGAGTCAAAGCAGATTGATTTGTGGATTTCTGAATTCATCACGTTTGGGGCTGCGACGGTTTTCATCGGGTTACGGTTGTTGAGTCGACGGCTGACGAGGATTGAGTTTTGGTGGGATGATTGGTTCGCGATTGGGTGCTATGTGAGTTTGCGACTACATGTCATTGACTTTGAGGGTTATACTAACTTCTACAAGTCTGTAGCGATTGCCTGGGTGGTGATAATTCCTATATGTACGTCAGTCGCGATATTCGATACGACCGAATCTAACATCGATCAGGGATCAAAGATGCCGGACTTGGACTTCACATTAACGATATTCATGGTCGCGGGACCAAGGCGGAGATATTGATTCACAACAGTCTTATTCTCTACGTCGCTGAATTATTCTACGCCACTGCCCTCTTCTGTGCGAAAGGATCGATCTTGAGTTTTTACTGGCGCATGTTTCGAGTCACCAACATCAAGCTTCCTATTCAGATCTTAGCCTGCTGTTCGTTGATATGGATTATCATTCGAGTGAGTATGCGCGGAGCCACATGCATGAGAGATTCTAACGTTAGTAGACATTCATGGGCATCTTCCATTGTATCCCCGTGCAGCGCTTCTGGGATCCCTCGGCTGGAGGCTCTTGCGCCATTGAGGACAAGAAGTTCTTTTTCGGTACTATCCTGGTTCACGTTATGCTCGACATCGCAATCATCGCCCTGCCGATTCTCCAGGTTCGCAAGCTACAGCTACCTATCTTTCAGAGGATCGGCATCATGCTCATGTTTCTGTTTGGTATTGTGTATGTGACGATGCGACTGCTGCGTGATCTTTGCTAACTTCTGCAGTATCTGCGCTTCAGCCATGGTCATCATCGTTGCTTCGACTCAGTTCGATGCCACGTCGGAGGATCTAACTTGGAACTTGGTCACCATTGTAGTCTGGGCTTCTGTTGAAGTGAATCTCGTCACTGTGTCAAGTATGTGTCGGATCGAATGCTGCCCCTTCGCCAATGCTAATATTTCTTAGCCTGCTTACCTACCGTCCGGCCCGCCATCCTATACCTCTTCACTTGCACCAACCCGACATCGACTATCGGCTCCGGTTCCAACAGCTACGGACCCAGTTACGGCCGCAGTCAAACCAAGAACACGATCCGACTGTCAACCCTTCCCAACAACAAAGACAACGACGAGTCAAGCTCTACACATCAGCTTGCCGATTCCGATCAAGGCGGTCGCGGCTCCTTGTCAGATTTCGAAAGTCACGCCATGGATCGATATCGCGGAAACGTTTCGACCGTGACTGGCCGGGCCCATGATCATGGCTCAGAGGAGTTCAACACAGGGTCGCCTTTTGGTGGAATCATGGTTAAGAACGAGACAACTGTGCGAATATCGACGGCCAGATGATGAAGATGCTATAGAGAAGTAAGATATGGGGAGAGTCGAGTGTATACAGGCAATAGGATAATTAGGTCGACGTCGGAGCATGAACGGGTACCAGATATCGGCCAAACAGTCACGAAGATAGAATGTGTTAATAGAATTCTTTTCGATAAGAAAGCCCGCCATGTGTAATACACCTAACGGCCTATCTGAAATCTTCATTCTTGTAAGTTTGTTTTGACAAACTGTCATACTTAATCGTCTTTCGCATTTGCGAGTTGTGCGATCCGAAGTCATCGCATATCGGGTCTGATGAGTTCGGGTTCGGATCCCAGAAACCCGGCGGCCCTAACGCTTCGGGGTTTGATGAAAAGTTACGGAGTACACCTGGTTGAAAGCCATACAAACCAATGATTACCCCAGATACTGTATTAAACCCCGGAATGTTTTGCCGCTTGTAATTACCGTGCTTGCTCTGCAGATCCCTGAGGCTGATCGCATACCGGTGGTATAAAGACCGTCCTCCGGGCCCACCAGCTGAGATCCGCATCACAAACAACATAGGTAATATATACTTGGTGCTTGATCTACCGATTTTCAGGAACCATACTAAACGAAAATGGTCTTCACGCCTCCATCATGGGTGCCGGAGCTCCCAATCGGTATGATCTACTGCCCACTCTCCAGAAACATCGCTCACCCTTGTAGACCCTCCAGACTCCATCGCGCTCTGCGAATTCATGACGAGCGAGGCCTATGGCCGCCTTCCAATCAGCAAATCAAGAAACCCGTTTACTTGCGGTATCACGGGAAGGACATATTCTGTGTCTCAAGTTCATCAACGAGCTGATTTCGTCGCCCGTGCAATCGCCAAAAGACTCGACTTTTCACCGAACCAAGGTGTTGAGTGGGATAAAGTCGTTTCCATCTTTTCCGTCAACACTGTAGGTGAAAACTCTGTCTTCCTTCCAGCAATTTGACTGACGATTTCTAGGTTGACAATTTTGCGGTCACGCAGGCTGTGCACCGACTGAACGGCATTGTTACACCCGCGAGCGCTGCTCACACCATTTCAGACTTGACGCATCAATTGAGGTCATCTGGAGTCAAAGCACTCTTCACATGCGCTAGTCGGCTTGATATCGCCGTCAAAGCAGCCAAGACTGTTGGTATTCCTCAAGAAAACATATTCATTCTAGCTACGCCGGACAATGACTCAAAGCTGCCTTTCACTACATTCGATGATCTCGTGAAAGAGGGCGCAAATCTTCCAGAGTTGGAGCCGCTGAAATGGGTCAAAGGCCAAGGTGCGAGGCAAGTCGCCTTTCTCTGCTATTCCAGCGGAACGTCTGGTCTTCCGGTAAGTGCATGAGACGATTCCAGCGCGTTCAGTTACTCACAATGGCAGAAAGCAGTCATGATATCCCATCGAAATATCATCGCCAATGTCCTCCAACTCACAACTTACGAGAGTGTTTCGAGAAAGAAGGATGGAATCGAGACGCAAGCATGTCTCGGTGCTCTTCCCTTCAGCCACATCTATGGACTCCTCATCATTTCCTTTGCCAGTACCTTCCGAGGTGACGGAATCATTGTGCTGCCTGAGTTTGATCTTGAAAAGGCCCTGATTGCCGTTCAGACATACAAGATTGCTCACATGTTTGTTGTAAGTGGTCGGCTCTAGCATACAGTCCAAACTCTGACAGCTACAGGTCCCACCGATTATTATCCGCATCATCCACAACAAGGCCTTGTGTTCAAAGTATGACCTGAGCTCTGTGCGCTGGCTGTATGGAGGTGCTGCGCCCTTGGGACCCGAGGTACTCAAGGAGGTAAAACGACAGTATCCAAAGTGGCGCGTAGGACAAGGATACGGTAATACGCTTCTCCCGACTCATACTCGATCCCATGCTAACTTACATAGGGTTGACCGAAACCTGTACAGTAGTTTGTACCATGTCCGAAGACGACATCGACGATGGCTCCTCCGGCTCCTTGGTGCCCTCGACGAAGGCCATGATTATCGATATCGAGACGGGCGAAGAGATCACGGAGTACAACAAGCCAGGCGAACTTCTAGTCCAGACACCGTCTCTGGTTCTGGGTTATTTGAACAACGAACGTGCTACGTCTGAGACTTTTATCTGGAGGAAGGACGGCCGCTGGATTCGAACTGGCGATGAGGTTTTGATTCGATTGGCCCCTTCTGGCAATGAACATTTGGTCATCGTGGACAGACTTAAGGAGCTTATCAAGGTCAACGTGAGTTCATTTATGCCTCTCTATCTCCCAAGAAGTGACTAATATTGATTTGGCGCCAGGGTCACCAGGTTGCCCCAGCAGAGCTTGAGGCCCACCTCCTTTCACACCCGTACGTCTCGGACTGCGCCGTCATCCAAACACCCAACGAAAAGGCCGGGGAGGTACCTAAAGCATACATCGTCAAGTCAGATGCTTGTAGAGGGCAATCTGATGATGCTGTTGCTCGCGCAATCTGTCAACATGTTGAAGATCACAAGCCGAGATACAAGTGGCTCGGAGGTGGTGTCGAGTTTATCGAGACAATCCCAAAGAGCCCCAGCGGTAAGATTCTGCGAAGGTTGCTGAGAGATAAAGAGAGGGAAACAAGGAAGAGTTTGGTGGCAAAGCTTTAGCTGTTTGCTTGGAATATGCAGTTTGCCTGGTTGCTTTGGCAAGACATTATATTTTGTGCATATCGGATTCAACAAACCGTAAGGTAAATAGCCTTGATTGAACCAATTTAATTATAACAAGTATTAGTAGAAACTGTCCACGTCAGTCAACAAAAGAGTAGCAATATCGTCATTGTTTAACAGAACTAGTTTTATTATCAATTTAAAAAGCCACATCACAACAACTACACCAAGACAATTCACAATAGGCTATTGAAAATCATTCTCCATTTAGGGGACCATTGTATAACTTCTTCTTTCTTTTATTACTTAGATATACTATTTATAGATATTGTTATCATTTAAGGGCATGTTTAAAATATTTATATAATACAGATCAGCGGAGATAGGTATTATTTATCAAGACATGGTGTTTTCCATTACGAGACAATAAATGCAAAAAGATAACCCCCGGTACAAGATTCGAACTTGTGACTTTTGCCTGTGCCTCAACAGAAAGTCAGTCTACACTGGGCCAGAAGACACCAGTAAGAAGAGGCAATGTGCTACCAACTGCACCAACCGGGGTTGAGTGGTATTGTTGACATTCGAGTGTGGTATTTGTGTAGATAAGTATTGCCACAGTAAGCATATCTGCCACTGCTGTGAAAAGACCATCCTACCCAAGCAGCATCATCACGACTAACCACAATGTCAACCGCTCCGGCCAGACACTATGCGATTGCCAGGATTTTGGAATGAGATTTTGATGGTAAATGACAAAAAGAGAATCCCCTGGTGCTGGATTTGAACCAGTAACATTCGCCAGTCAATCCGTGGATGACAGCAGAACGGTGATCATAAGTGCAACAGTGGTAAATACGACGACGTGCTAACCAATTGCACAAACCAGGGTCAAGTAGTGTTGTTGAAATAAAGAAGTGACGTTTCGGTTCGCATGGGGAAAAAGAGAGTCCTTGGAAAGGAATTCAGACCCCCACATTCGCCCTACCTCTTCAGAGATATCCTGGGGCTATGTAGCTGGTCTGGCTGCTTTGTACAGCGGCGATATTTCGCGTTTATCCAATTAACCAAATTATAACGGAGAGGACCTTCAGCAACCTCAACGTGACCCGTACCCTGACATGCTAGGGTGCTAGAAACTTCACTGAGAGGGCTGGCATACTGATCTTGGTTAATTGTATATGTTTGTGGTATGCTGCCTGAACTGAATTTATGAGAGTGTTGTTTCGAGTTGATGGAACTGATAGCTGGTGCTTCTGTATGCCTTAATTGTGTGAAGGACTTGTCCCCTGATACGCGGAAGAAAGACATAGAGTTATAAAAAGGATCATCTATTTGTAAACGGGCTTTTCTTATATATAGTATTATCCAGTGGAGACATTATCTAACGACGCAAGTGTTATATTAAAACGAATGCAAAAAACAAATCCCTGGAACGAGGATTACTCGTGACCTTCGCCTTTGCCTCAAGATAAGAAATCACTGTACTGCACCACAGAGGATAACAGTCGGGAGGCAAAGACAATGTGCTTACCAACTGCACCACCCGGGGCTGAGTGGTATTGTTAACACAGAAGAGCCATATTGGGGTAGATAACCCTTGAAATCTATAATAATGAATACGAAAGTTAAATGGATTCAAACCGCCATTCTCTTTCGGTAAATCCGTGTATAAATAAGGAACGGTGGTATCGAATTGGCTGTACACGGCGAAATGCTACCAATTACACCAACCAGGACTTATTGATGGCGGGTGGGAAGCATCCCATCGGTTACATATAGCAGGTTACAGACCTGCATTTGGCGTTTTGCTGCTATGAAAAATCAACTGCAGTATGACACATGCGATTCCATTTCAGGCTCCTCTCAGCACGCGTTGAGATGTGTGCTTGGTCTGTTGCCAAACGCACAACACCACACTTTGTCAAGATAGTGAGCGACTCTTTCTGCATCAAATGGTAAGACAAGACAAAGAAAAGTCACAATTGTTAATGGTCCAAGCGTGTCCTGAAATTTCTTTTTCGTCTAGAATCATCAGTCGCTACGAAGAAGATGGGGGCGTAAGCTGAGAGTTGGAGAATTGCTGGGAGCGGCCGCCGTGCATGCCTCTACTGAACTGATAGACGAAGGCTGGCCAGAGTGATACTCAAGGTGGCTGTGCAAGATTGAATCTCACAACTACAGATGTGTTATTTGCAGTTGAGACTTGTGGCTGAGAGCTTAATCCGGCAGAGAGAACATAGAACGCCCTATTGACGTTGATGTTGAGCTAGGCTGTCTAGATGCAGGACCTTCAACTCATGGAATTTCTGCTGGCAATTTCCATGAGAATCATGAAAAACTGATAACGTGCGCCTCAACCCTTTAGTGCTCTTCAGAATGACAAGGCTGAGATAGGTTGATGGGATGTAGTTGGCGGTTGTGGACCCGAGTGGGCCTCCATCCTATCACCATCAACAAGACCCATAAATCTAACATCTCACGACAACCACACCTCTCGACCTCTTCACGAGAATATTCCTCATCTCATTCTTTTACTTACTGAGAAAGGTCAAGAAATGAAGCGCGACGAGTGCTAGGCTTCAACGCGTGGGAGATACTGGTCTGAGGTTCTACGAATCGGCCAACGACCGAGAAAACATTTTCTGCTTCACATCACACTCAAGTGTGTGAGATGCTCAGTCAACGGTTTGCCATCGGCTGGAAACAAGGTTCATACTCACCTCTCAAGTAGTTCTCATCTCAACGATCTATGCTCCAATTACCCACTGCATCGAAAATACAAATCGCGATATTGTTCAAGGCGCCCCCGGATGTGATTAGGGCCAAGCGGCGAGGCTGTTCTCAGAGTTGTCGGTCTGTCGCTCGGAGCGAGTGCATCACTGGAAGCGCGAGGTGGCATTTGAATTTGATAGACTTCAATATCTATTGTTGACTCTGGTAACTTCTGGATGTGATCTCCAGTAGAGAAAAATCGCATCGCGAGCAAAAACAAGGTGTGGTCGAAAGCCATAGCGCATTTGGCGCTTGGTGCGAAACCAGGCCTACATATGCTTTATGATTATCAGATTGCTTAATTGCCTATGCTCAAAATTATCTGAAAAGAAGCGCTCCAGGTAGAAGTGATATTAGATTGCAAACATGATGTAGTGTTTGAGGTCTGATGTGGTGATGGCATCAGAAAACACACCACGAACTACCACAATGCAGCTGACGTTAACATAGCTCACGGCGCGATGCGATGTCTAACGCAATGAAAAATGAATAAAATCTTTCGTGGGTTTGAACAGGAACTGTCGTGAAGTCAAAGCATTGAAAAAGCCAAAAAATTTGGTCAGGAATGGTCTCGCCCTCGTCAGGGGTCTTTGACTGGGTTTCGAACGGTGTAGCCTCTGTAAGATGACCACCTTTCTCATAGGGTTGGGCATGTGTCCACCTGACCACACCCCAGTTTCTTGTCGTGTCCCATGTGCTTGGAGTGGTTTTACTTCAGACTATATACCTTATGCAGCTGCGTCACTGACCGCGGAACATCGATACTCCTGGTACTGGCAGCCAGTGTTCCCCTTGTACCACTGTTCTACCACACCGCAGAGGTATGTGCCGGTGCGATTTCTGTGGAGCAAGCACTGGAGTGCACCGCAGCGGCTTATTCCCACCCTCCTTCGCCAAAGAAGAGTAAAAATGCGAGGCGACTTTTGTAAGAAGCTTAGTTCTTTCAACTTGTGAGCCAAAGGGTGATAATGCAGGAGTGGCAGAGTGATGGATATGTTTCAGTAACTCCAGTAATATGCTTGGATAAGGACACAGCGGCACTTGGGAATAGAAGAGATATTTGCGACGTCTGACTTTTGATTCTACACCATCAACTATCTTCAAAACCATGACTGTTGAATGCGCAGTATCGAATTGACTTGGCCTGGCTCTCCCTGGTCTTCTACCCACTCTCTCACTAAAATCTCCCATTAACCGTCAACCTCCATTTCCATCTGATGTTCCTTCTCTAGCTCCGTCAAATGAAATACTTGACTGGGAGTACAGTGATGATCCACAAGAATACGAAGGCTGTTGGGGATCGAGACGCCGTTCTGAAGGCAAGTCTTCCAAACATCCTTCAAATGGGTGTAGGAGTCAAAGTACTCCTTTGGTGGACCAATCTCTTCGACCTGTTGTTCTTGGACCTCACCTGGCTTCTTCAAGATCTCTCTTCGCGCCCGTCTAGCGACGGCTCGATCAGGAGTCGCGAGTCTTTTCCCGAGTATCTTCATGTGTCGGGTATAGTCGCGAAGTGTCATAGCATTGCCCTCCATCTCGTCGTCGTCGTCGGTCAAAGTGATAAGCGCCTTCGGTGTGTAGTTAGGCTCAATTGATGGAAGAGGGGCCTCGCTGGGCTCTAGCTTTGGATCTGCTGGGCCAGCTGCTGAGACCTCCGGGCAGAACACTCCGCGAAAAACCTCCTCGTATTTGTTGACATCAGGCATTTTAGTGGTGACGATCCAAAGCGATTTGCCATTGACCTTTTGAAACTTCGCGACAGGTTTCTGGCAATTTTGGTCTAATTCAATGGCGAAGGGGGATGACTTGACTTTGGCCCACACCTGAATAGCAATCGGTAGCCACTGGATTCCGTTAAGTTCGCCGAACACCTTGACAAGATCCTCATTCTTGCGAAAGAATTCTCTCGTGTGAGGACGTAGCTTTCTGTAAGCAATTGCTGCAATCATGCTGATCATAACATGGCTGGGATGCAAATAGTCCTCCCTGTATCCGCCTGTAATTTCGTGACTTTCAACGCGATGGGCTGAAAAGAGGACATGCCTCCATAACGCTCCAATGTTGTGTCCCTCAGCAGCCTACCATGATTGTGAACCCTTGTAGTGACGGAATTGGAAGATTCTGGAGCGTCATGCTTATGAATCCCCGCCGCGTGGAAGATATCGGTAGCAATAGCTTCACAGAGCTGGAACATGCTGGTGGTAGCGATATCACGAACGGGCACGTCTTCACAGACATCAATTCCAATTCCATGGATGTCCACCGTTCCGTCGTTGATACTCTGAACCAGCGCTTCTGCATCTGATTCGATCTTCAGCGACATTGTCGACATTTTCGGTTGGTGACTAGAAATGAAAAAGCGGTTAGAAATGTTCGAGCGACCGGCCAAACGAATATTTACCTAGGTAAATCACTCAGAGTATTGTCACCAAACTTCCACGCCTCGGAGATTGTGAGAAAGGGAAGAAAAAGTTGTGAGGGCTGAAACTGGGGCTGTGATTCCCGTCCAGAGAAGTGGGGCCAGATCCGAGTGAGGTTGTACCTTGGTCCGCACGTAATCAGCAACAAACATTGTGGAAGCAGAACAAGGGCCTAAAGAAGTCTAAAGGAGTCTAAAGAACTCATATACATATCCAAGATTTACGAAACTTTGCCAAAACTTAACTCCACTTTATAAATTTATCCAAAGTTACCTAAGTCTTCTAGTCACCCAAAGTAAGAAGTATTCTCTTGGGCAATGGCCTCCTATTTAAAAGATGCTGACCGTGCCCCTCTTCAGCCTTTTCCATTTCTTCTCCAAATCCCCAAACCAACCACATCGCCATCATGGCTAAGAACAGGGCTCCCACAAAGACAGCTCCCAAATACAACCTTCCTCCTACACTGAAGGTGTCATGCGTTCTTCAGATCAACGGCGAACCTTTCGGCGGCAAGGAACTTGGCATCACCACCAGTATTTCCACTCACCTGCTCGCTGTGAGAAGTCCAGATAAGGATTCATTCCTTGGCTTTGCCATCGAATTCCCGCTATCGCCTACGGGAGAGAACACCGGTTTCGGAAATTGTCACCACGGTGAGCTCTTCAGATTCGCGTGCCCGATCCGACATCTGCTAACAACTTTTCCCAGTTGACTTTACCACTCAGAGGACCATTACCAGCAACACTTGGAAACTCACCGTGAAATTCCCTCGTGAAAATATTGATATCACGTACCGGGCTGCAAGTGAAGAAGAAAACGCAAGATATCCTGCCAGCAAGAAACACATGACTTGGGTCGACGTCGTTCTAGGCAAAGATGCAACAGTCTATGTCCAAGGATTTGGAATGCCATATTCAAACCCAGGTCACCCGGCTGAAGATTGGCTTCGATATCCCGCCTCGACAACTGTTGTGGGCGGCCTCACCCTCTTGGATATCATCCAACAGCGACACTTTTCGTTTCTCGCGGCTCGAATCGAAAGCGCTATGGCCACGAGGTGGAGTGTCGCCAGTTTAGCCCCCAAATTCGATTACGGCTATGGTGCAGACCAGTCATGGGACATGGACAGATACATGAAGCAGCTCCATGATGTCAAAGGCCACCGCTTCCAGGCTGCATGGAGCTTTGAAACTGACGACTCCCATGTGACTGCTATGACACAGAGCATAGTCCAAGATTTCATGTGGATCCAGAAATTCTGTCTAGAAATGACTACTGAAATGGGCTACGCGTACTTCGTCAAGCATCCAGGAAGTCGACGGTCAAAACGATGGCTAGTCATCGTCAGGATGGACCGGGGGTTTTGGAAGAACAGAAAATGGTCTCAAGCCTGCATCCAAGGTACCATGAAGATGGTTGTTCATCCCGGATCAGATGAGCTTCCCGAGTCATGGACCGAAGATATTTCTGAACGCTGGTCAGCCCGTGTCTGCCATGACCCCCGTGAAGTAAGGTTGCTCAACCGACACGGGATCACTGAGAAGGACTACGTTATCAGGGTAATCGAGCCGCTTCAGATCCAACTGGGTATCAAGGAGTTTGAGAGCCGTGAGGCAGCCGATGCTGCCTTTGAGACCGACAAATCGCTTTAGAACCGCGTGTCGTTCGAATGGGATCTGCAGCTTCATAATGCCAAGCGCCAAGTGGACGCTGTCTGCGACTTCTTGCCATCCGCCGCCCCAAACCGCCAATTCTTCCGTGACAAGGGCCTCCAAGTCTCAGAGCTTGGTGGTGGGAGGGAGGCATTGATGATGAGTCTTCACAGAGATCTACTACGTGGTGAAGGCTTCTGGAAGACGATGATGGCAGCAGACTCGGACATGGACAAGACGGGAGGTCACATGGGAAATCCGAATACCGGGGGTCAACGCGAACAACTGGCTTTACCTATGCTACCGTCTGTCAACTTCCTCAAAGATGGTGACAAAAGCGGTTGGGCTGATACTCTATTTTCCGAGGTTTCTGATGCCGACCAGCGTCCGCTTCGTTACTATCTTAGCAACCGCCCTCTCGGCTTTGGCATTTTCACAAATGTAAGCATCTGACATTGAAACTCATATTCTTCCCATACTGACGAGAAATGTAGGGACCAAGCACCGACAACGCCTCCATTTTCCCCGTGGCAGTCCTTGCGATGCATACACACGTGGGTACCGTCATGGCAAGCGCTCCGACTCCTACCGCCGTCAGCAAGTTCGCTTCTGATCTCCATACTGCCTCTCGCAGCGCCGTAAGCAAGTACAACATCGGGAAGAGCCATGAAAGCAGTTGCCGAGCTGCTCTGATAATCCGTGGCTTTCAACTTCAGGTCGAATGCGACGCCTTCAAGTGTTTACTTCAACACCCTCTCGTCGGCGATGAAGCCGCTGGTGATGATGAATGGGGCGTCAAGTTGGACTGGAAGCTCCATCTCTCGGCCACATTTTGGCTTTTTACCTGCCTTGGTTCCGAATCCTTGCCACCCCTGCATAAAGAGGACGCCAACATTTTACACTATTTCCAGGACGTACTTGCAAAGTCAGACATCTTTGCTCGTCTTCTTGAACGGGTTTCTAGCAAGATCCCATGGGAAGAATACGTGGCCGGCGAAACTGTTTCAGACACTGAAATCATGAAGCTGATGGAGATGATTATCGAGGTCGCCGACATTGTCTGTACGACCCCATCCTTAGCCCATACCGAGGATCATCTCAAGAAGTGGAAAGTAGAGCGGGCTCGAGGGATCGCCATTGACGAAGCTGGCGGTATGAGCCGTGGCGATCTGTATTCCATCTGGGGTAACACACTCTTGCCCTGCTTTCTTGCCGGTGATGAAGAGTTTGTTCCGCTAGAGGTGAAAAGCTACCATGACAAAGATGCCCAGGGAAATTTCCGGAACAGATTTGGGAATGATGCTCGGAAGTCGGCGCTTGAGTTTCTTGTTGCGACTGGCTGGCCTGTCTATTGTGTTCGTGGTTAGTGAGATCTAGCTGCTGTTGCAGTACAACACCCAGGGAAGGGTACGGGGCACGACTACACTGGCCAAATATTAAGAAGCTTTAGAGTAATCATTGGGACAGCCTTTGGTGAACTTTAGAAACTTAGTATGCAATGTATCAAGATCCCATAATAAAGTTTAAAGTTCCTTTACCCTTGAGATGGTATTATAGTAGTATGAATCCTTGAAGAAACCAGGGTAAGTTGACTATACGAGAGCTAAGACGGAAGAAAACACAAGAACGTGTGGTAGACAAGCAGCGAGGGCTAAGGGTGGAAAAGTAGATAGAAAGGAGGTAAAGGGTCTTGCCATGACAAGCCTCCGTCCGATTGGCAACTTATATAGTACGCAAAGCTTCCGATGTATCATTAATGCATATGTTTCGTGCAAATTAATTAGGCCATATGAGTTAACCAAGGTAAAGTGCAAGACCAGGTAAGCCCGAATGTACATTGGGTTTTTTTTACGGAAACCTCACCCACAGCCGAAGTCGCAACTTCGAAAACCAGGACACTTCTACTGAAGCCTGCCGCGTTCGGCAGTGAAGACGTCGTTAGACGTTTGCTTAACTAATGTTAGCATTTACACAGTTACCTTCACGCATGGGGCGTGAGCCAGAGGACACCGGATAAAAGACTCCATTATCAGGGTTTGGATCTAGCCGCCCCCCTCTGCAAAAAGTCATCCCATGTCTTGAACTCCGCACTAAGATCTATTATTTCATCAACACCATCCCGGGTAAAAATCGCATTCGAATTAATACAGGGCGGCACGTGGGCACGTACTAATATATTTGGTGCCGCCACCACCGGCGTCCTCCAAAGCCACAATGATCCCATATCCCTTGCGCTTGTTGTTTGCCGTGGTGGTCTCGACACACACGTGTCCCGGGACCATGCAACTAGGTCGTCCACAGAGGTGACTGATCTGATCGTCGGGGGAGCATTTGAGCCCGAGGCTCCAGAGCAACACTTCGTGTAGGAGGACAAACTTGTTGCCGCCACCCCAGCTCAGCTGAATGTAACCATTAACCTTGTTGGGGGCCTTTAACGAAAGTCGACAAAAGCCTTGAACTTTAGAGGACTGAACCTCCTGGTCGAGGTTTTTATTGCATAGCTCAACAGAATTTTTAAACTCGAGGCGAGCCTTATCTCGTTTCTATTCCTACCCCATCAGTATTTGCTACTACCAGAGACACTATTACGGTATCCGACTTACGATTTGCTGAACCAGCGGGGACCGTCTAGGTCGAGAAGTTTTTTTTTTGGTCGAGGACTTGATTTTGTTTTCGGTCGAGGACCACTTGATTTCTTTGAAGGTCGAGCCACTAGGAGCTGTTAGTCTTATGCCCAACAAGCCGATCCACAATACTTACTTCTGAAGCTGTTGCTTAAAAAAGCGCGAACAAAGAAGTTTTCGAGTAGGGGGGCAAGCCGAGCAGGTAATCCATTTGCTATTGGAGTCTGCCATATCATTAGCATTTTCCACTAGCCAGTCGTCATCGCGGCTACGTATTGTCCCCTACAGCCCCCCAGACGATCCAGAGTGTCCCATTGGGGACGTGTGTCGCGGACAGCTATCCGCCCAGCAGAGTCCACCGACAAGGGCGAACTACGGCATCGGGACTGTCCAGCTCGGCCAGTCCTGTAACGCCTGAAGTGAGGCTGGCCTGTTCGGTCCCACTCAGTGTCTCACTTATTCTGCCACCAGACACCGCCTCGGGCAATAGGTCCAGACCAGCGCGATGCTGTTAGAGTGCTTCAGTAAGGTATCGCCGCCATTTATAGGTACAGCTTTTTTAGACCTCGAAACTTGGCTTCAAAGCGAGCTCGCGATGGAGAAAACATGCCCTAATCTGTCCATTTCTACAACATATACAAAGCAAAACATCTGCGACAACACGTTGGACGATGCGCAGTTGGCGACACGGTGTCCACTTGATAAAGGGCGATTCATCGACGCGTCCAACCCCCCGCGCTATTCCGCCGGCCAACTCGACCAGCTTCCAGCAGAACTTCTTATCCAAGTCCTGCTGTACATTGATATTCCGTCGCTGACTCGTTTCCGCCGCGTCAACCGTCGCGCGATGGAACTCATTGACTCGATTCCCCAGTACGACGCCATCATCAAGCATTGCCCTGACGTCATCCGCGCCATTCTCAGCATCCAAGCAGACGCATTTGACTGCGACGTACTGTACACAACTCTCAGCACAACCCGATGCTCGACGTGCGAGCGCTTTGGTGACCATCTCTACCTCATCGACTGCCGTAGAGTTTGCTACTTCTGCTTCACCCGGCGCCTGGACTACTTTCCCCTCACAATCGGCCGCGCATCGAGTTTCTTCACCCATGGGACGCAGCAGCGCAGTGCCATCACCAGCCGCCAACGCCTACGTGCAGCGAATCCCCCAAGCATCCTGAGCTTGCCCGGGCGGTACTGTACCAGCTGGAACAGTGAAGGGGGCAGTTCGGTGCGAAAGCGGCTTCAACTCTTCGACCGGCAGGCGGTGACTCAGGACCTGACGGGCTCTGCTCTTCCGAAGCTAGACAAGACCACTAGGGAACCTCAACGGTTCATGGCCATCATCACCGCACCGTTTCTGTTTGATTCTGGCCGGCAGGCCGACTGGGGATGCTTCTGCCTTGGCTGTAAGGATGAGACTGAGGAGAAGACGAAGCATTTTCGGATCAAATACACAAGTGAAGAGATGCCGAAGCACATTACGCGGTATGGACCGGTGAGGGAGATGCCAAGAATACCCGGTAGGTTCACGCATGTCACTCAAGTCTGACAGGGGGTCCGATCTCATCTTCGACTCATGGGCCGGATTAATCTCGTTAGAATTCTGCACTTTGCCTCCATGAAAAGCGCCTTTGATGTTGTCCCTTACAGTCTGGATACATTCGCCGGCACTCGCCCAACCCGCAGACAGACCGTCACTTACGTGTCGCCATCACACATCCTCAGCGGTGCATCTCGTCTTTTCCCTCCTTGACCATGTGCTTGCTACACATGTGCACTGAGTCAGGCAGCGGCTGCTTTATCACTTTAACGTTTGTGCCTTGACGCTCCGGACACTGCTTGAATTCCTCATTCTTCATGCACCCGCAGGTATACTTGCGGTAGAGCTGGAAGCACATAGTGTCTAGAGTGCCGTGCCGCGTGATGTTGAACTATGCGGGTAACAGAACTCAGGTGCGTCGCGCGGATTGGGTCTGGGTTCAGACACCAAGGTCAGTGTCTGCATATCGAGATCATAAGGGTCCGAAGCCGTTCAGTAATGAGGAATTTCAACGTACCTGTGTATTCGGACACACTGGCACACAGTTTAGGAGTAATAAGGCTGGTATATAGAGGGTATCGGCTAGGTATTCTCTTGTCAAGGTCGCCGTCGCTCACTGACATGATGCTCTTGCCTGGGAGCGTCCCAATATCCATGCTACTTGTATATTTCATTTGCTCCATTCAGATCTCTAACTCTAAGCAGGAACTGCTCTGATAGCGCGCGGCAATAATATCATATCGGCTTTCTTGCATATTCTACACATGTACTGGTCCTGGTGTGGAAGATCAAGTCCCTTAGTGGGCAACATGCACCGCTACTCCCTGGTAGTAGGTCAGATGTGCCGGGCTTTGCAAGGCACACTAGGGCGCGAAGATTACCCAGCGCAGTAAGATAAATTATATGATATAATTCCATTGGCTGAGAAGCAAATGTTTGACCTCCCTGCTAGGCTGCTACTGCAACAGCGGCCCACGCACGCACCTCACCTCATCTTGGGCGGCACGTAGGGTAAGTTGATTGGCTACAACCCTGGGGGATCGCAAGCCCCGCCATCAGAGACCAGCTTCCACAGCGCTTATAACCACACTTCTCCCTTTTTAACGTCTATTACGCCACCCGGAGCGCGGCATCGCCGAGCCCCTCAGATAATTTATTGTTTCGCACTCCATGCCGTTCTAGGCTTTGATCTTTAAGCTCGGCGCACCATCCAGTTTCTCAACAACAACTCCTCCTGCCAGATCACGCCTTTTCAAGTAAGGTAGTCATACTGCTTAGCCGCCATTTACATAGCGCTTCGTGACCGATCCGCAGTCATCTCCTCTCGCCTCAACACTGCTTCTCCGCAATGATGGCGCCCCAAGAAAGGAACACAAACGTCCGGCTTCTCGCATGCCTCATTGACGACGACGACACGAGTAATAGTGATTATCGCTTCCTCGTCGACGGGCAACATGTGAAGTACGTATCCACAGCACCAGGCACGTTTTTGGGGGCCGAGGAAGACCGTACTTTTGAGCCCACCCTGCTTGGCGAGCTTCTCCCATCGTTTCCAGCTGGAGATTGGAACCACGGCTTTGTAGCTAGGGACCCCGAGGCGGGGAAGGCTACCTTCGTCAGGACTGAGACAGTACAACTTGCTGGGATTCAGAACTGTTGGCATCCCGTGAAGCTCAACGAGTTAGAATTTACACGACAAGAGCGAGTGAGGCAACGAGTCCACGTCTCGACGCATCCTGAAGTTGAGGGCGGCAGACCCGTACTCATCAAACTCGCGGTCTGGCCCTGGGAAATCCCCTTCATTGAGGTCGAGACGGCCGCCTATCAATGGATCAGTGGCAGCGGAATCGGGCCAAAATTTCTAGGGCACCTCACTGAGGGCAAAGATGGGCGGGTGGTTGGCTTCGTTGCTGAGTGGGTGGAAGGCGCGAGAGCTGCTGGACCAGCAGATATCGATGACTGCAAGAAGGCTTTAGGTCGGTTGCATGAGCTCGGTATCAAGCTTGGCGATATCAACAAACACAACTTTCTTGTGCGGGATGGGCATGACGTGGTTCTTGTAGACTTTGAGACGGCGAAGCGAGACTGTTCGCCTTTGGAGCTCGAGGACGAGATGAGCAGCCTTAAGAGCAGCCTTAAAGAAACGAGTTTCCGGGGCGGGGCAGAACCCGCTTATGAATGACAGAACCAGGACATGCATGCCGGCATTATGGGTTAAAGGGAGGTGAGCTGCACATACAACCGAACTAGACCACCAAGTCCACGAGCATCGACAGAATAAATCACCAAGGAAAATATCGCGGGTCCGGCAAGTCTCTTCCCACGAATATCATTCAAAACAGCCCCGTGGCCTTGAGGAAGAAGTCCATGGTGAAGCTTGCATTTTTGTGACGTGGCTGGCGTGGAATGCGACATCCTTTGCGGGTGCGTGTAGAAGCGATGGAATCGGCCCACATGGCATACCTCCAATATTTCTACCATTCTCAAGGGGTCTAACTGTTTCCACTTCCGCGTGGAACAAGTGAAGTTCGCTCACGGAGCTGATGCAACCAATGTTGATGCGTCACCAGATAGAGCAACACAGCCTATCAACAGTCCTTTCATATGTCGTTTTCGTAGTGCTCTCAAGGTTGGTAACTTCTCAAAGTCATCAATGTATTCTTAAAGCCTTGCCATCTAAAACTTATCCAGCTTCAACAAATTCTCCATCCATCGCATTCGTGATTCGCAACCACCTCTCTTCAACTGCCCTTTTCACCATCCCCTAAAATCGCGCTTTACAGCTCCGGAAGGACCTTCACTGCCCACATGGAGCTCACCATCCTTCGCTCCATAAGCCTTATCTGATATCTCGATGTGAATCTTCCATCGCGGTCCTAGAACTTCAATGTCATGTCAGCCACACACTCGAAAGCAGCCGCAGAATAAGCATAATAACTTACGCGACTGTTCTTCTCCTCAAGAACCCATCGTTTCACCCAAGCGGAAAGCCTCCTCAAGCTGAGCTAGACGGAAAGCCTCATCTGCGCTACAATGAAACTTGACCAGCCGACGAAGACTTTCTGGAACACATCCAGTCTTTGCTAGACTTCGGTACCAACGCCTCTCAATGCACGGAAACATCTGCGGACCTTGGTGAAGCGTGTGCTGCAGGCTCTGAAGCGACAACGCCATCCCCGCTCTCTAGTCAGCGATGGCTTCGTTCTGGAGTTCAAATGCAGTAGCGAAAGCGCTACGCTCAATCTCCATTGATTCACGTTCCTGCTGTACAAGCTCGCACGCCTCCCGTTCCATCGCCTTCATCTTCTCGTCATGAAAGTCAGCGAAGAGGGCGATTCCCCGACGGACCTTGTTGACAACCTCTCGACGTTCTGGCTCTGGAAGTCCCTTACGCAAGGGCTTCAGATCCGCAACATAGAACCGAAGGATATCTGCGCCCATTCCGCAGAAGGCCATGTCCTTTCGTCGGTTGGGGACTTCAACGGTATACTCCCATTCGGAGACATCTTCGTCGATGAACTCAGAAAGTTTGTTAAACCACATCGGATCGTGACTTGAGCACCAGGTATGAACGGTGTGCTTCATCTCGGGAGGCAGGACACAGAGGATTGGTTCGGCGAGCCATTTCGATACTGCTGTCCCGAGGAGTTTGTCGACAAACTTTGACTTGCCCATCTTGGCAATATTCTCGCCAGCCTGCTCGAGTGCTTCTTGTCTGGTGATTGTCTTCTGGGCCAGAGTGGGGGCTGGGTCGAAGCTGTCCTCGGAGGAGACGGACTCTGTGTCCTGCTGGTCGAGAGACGATGTAGACATATTTCTTTGGAGTGCTCTTTGCAGGAAGTTAGGTTGAACGTCGAGGAGACTCTTTGCTACGTTACGAGTAGCTGCGATTGGCACGAATCCTCCGAGAAGAAACAAACAGGTTGCGAGACGGACGTTGAGTTTCTTGTTCCGGGATTGCAAGCGACTGACGACACTCCCAAACATGTCAGTCAAGTTTCTTCTTCAGTTCGTAACAGAGACTCACCAACAAGCTCAAAGCGGTAATTATAAGCTCTCAGCCCCGGGCCATCAACAACAGACACAACGCTTAGTCTCCGAGCTTGCGCTGAACGAAAGCAAGATGAAGTGATAATATGACTCGCTGAAGGGTATTCTGGACCAAAGGGAAAACAGAAATGTCAAAAATAATGAAAGTTAAGTTCCAGTGCCACAAGACGTATGCCAAAATCAAAGACTAGGGATTCAGAGAGCGTCAAGATGAGTGAGTGGATCAGAGGAAGAAGAGATGAGTGGGCCTCAAAGGAATGGTCTCTACAGGGCCAGGAGCCTACCAATTCTACCATTACGTCAATCGAGGTCCCTTGCACCTGGGTCATCTGCTTGGAGTAGGGCCACATCCTATCGTTACACAAGCAATGTTGAGCGACATCGGCCTCCTTCTGCCTATTTGTGAGGATCACTCTGTCCATGGTTCCATGGGTTTATTATCGTTACTCTGTGAAAGAACAGACGTCAGAAATTTGCACCTCCCTATGCTTCTCCGATTGTTTAAGTAAACTTGTTTCGACGAGAAAGGCTTTGATTTTCAGGAAGACCCTACCACTCTCACCTCTCTCTAGCCATGTTGATTCTGTCTTCGTTCGATCAGAGAAGAGGTAGAGACATGAGTCAGAAGGCTAACTCAAAGAGCTTGGGCATGATCTGAAGCCGCGAGAATGCCTCGAACGATACACGACAGAGATGATACTGCCACCAACTTGGGAACCAGCTGGCAGAGGATATTTCATCCAATCACAGGCCGGTTCCGTGGTCTAGTTGGTTATGGCATCTCGTTAACACCGAGAAGGTCCCCGGTTCGATCCCGGGCGGAACCACTCTTTTGCTCTGTCTCTGACTGGAACTCTTTTCTTTTTGCATTCTCTTTCGTATGCTTAGCTTTGAAACAGTGTAAGTTGTAAAGTGGCTGTGATCTTTTGTGATAAGATGGCGTACCGACGTGCGAATGGTTGATGTTGTGTGATGCTGGCCTTAAAGAGTCAAAGAGCAACAAATCTTCTGGATTTTACAGTTAGTTGATCCCAAGGCTCACGGAGTATTGAACATAAGTCTACGCCATTTTGGATGAAGTCCTAAGTTCCCTTGTCTCCACTTGGTAGTAGGCAGGGTCTCCAGTTGACAAAGTAGATCTTGAATATCAGTCTTTGAAATACATATGGGGAAATAGAGATGAGAACCAAAACAAACGAACCAGTAACTACCTTATAAATAACAAAGTACCAGGAACATGACTTTGTTTCTGTATTTGTCAGTTCTGATTTCGAAAGCCAAAACATGATTCCTTAAACCGCCGTATATAATACATAGGTCACGATGCTTCCCCAAGTCTGGGCCATATGCAGTCATACGACAGTCACAAGAAACAGCAAAGATGAAGCTCCGAATCCGTTGAAGTGATCATAATTATATTTATCGTCTATAAAATGCTGAAATGCTCATAAACCATGGTATTCCCCCCTCTTTCATTAAACCCTCATTAAAAATCCCATCTCTCTAATTCATTTTAAATCATCATCAACACATTTTAATTGATCTGCTGAATGCTCTTCCAGCTTCCACTGTGGTCTCCATAAAGGTACTCGCGCACACTCGCTGTTGTAGGAGCATCACCACCAGCGTAATCAACAATGGAAATGCTCTTGTAGTAAGCGTTGAAGGGACCCTGAGAGTAGTCGGCAAGACCACCAGCCCAGGTAATGGTACCAGGAGCAGCGTCGGGAGAACCAGCAGTCCATGTTCCGAGCTTGATCTGCATGGGGGTCTGGGGATAGCCATTAGGGCCGGTGGCGTCGGTGTAGGGAAGGGTTCGGACGACCTGGTCGTCGATCATCCAGTTGATGGCGGAGGGAGTCCACTCTATGGAGTAGAGATGAAATTGGCCTGTTGGGTTGGCGACAGGGTGGAATTCGCCGCGGTCGTATGTTGACACATCTCCCTTGCTGAAATAATTTGACTGAACCTGAGCGTTATCGCCTCCAAGCCACTCCCAATCGATCTGAAGTTGTTAGTTGATGTTTTCTTTACAAGTTGGTGGTGAACTTACCTCATCAAGGTCATCAGACTGAAGAACAGCACTAGTGCAGATGCCTACACCAGTTGAGGCTTGCACCTCGACATCCACACGGCCGAAAAAGATGTACTTGCCCGTCGCAATTGTAGGAGCCTGGTTTGGTCCCGAAATTGTAAAGACAGCACCATTCTCGTTGTGTTGCAGAGCAGTACCGGCATCCTCTGCGAAAGCGTCACATGCACCCTTTGTAAAGTCACAGTGGACAGTGTCTCTTCCAAAAGCAGGGTCGGCAGGACATGCTATGTTGTGTAAGTCAAGTGTACCGAGTTGTTGGAATCAAGTGGTGAGACTTACTGGCTGTCATGGGGTTACACTTTGTGAAAGTCTGGGCTGAGACAAGAGGTGCCGCGAGGGCGAGGGCTGCGATGGCTTTGGCGAACATTCTTGCTAGTGTCGTGTGACGAGGTACAACAGGAAGATGGCTTGTCAGTAATGCACAATTGTCCAAAAAAAAAGAATTGATGAGTGAGGATGAGATGAGATGTTTGGATGTTCTCACGCACGTTGATATAGTAGTTAGAATTTCGAGTTCGATTGGCGATTGGTGAAGGCTGGTTTAATACTTGACTTCTCTGAGCCAAGAGGGCTCCCAACCTCCCCTGTCACAAAAGCCTCGGTTTATATCGATCAGACGATGGCTCGTATCGCGGTGCTAGCGTCGACTAAGCAACCAGGGATAGGCCACCAACGGCAGGGATCTCCACACCCCTTGCATCAGATCACCAATAGCACGGACGATACCCTGCATGAGTGAGTTGCTGTAGTGAAATCAACGGCGAGAGGGAACTGCTATGAGACAAAGGCTTTTCCAGATCCGTTGGGTAGTGCAGTAGTTGGCGTGGCTTGTTGAAGTCTTGGCCTTACCAACCACTGATACGAACTCCCGACCGGCCATTTTTTTGCACTAGGGTCTAGATCGTGGGTGGGCTGCTTGCTTAGCTCGACATCGTGGGTGAGCGGGCTGTGTGCGATATGCGTCCAGGGGCTTTGAACTAAAGCATGCGGATTGTCAGCAGAGGAGTAATTCCCTGTGCTGACGTCAGGTCAATCACCAGAAGTCAATTGAGCAATAATTCAATCATCTTTCTTCTGCTCGTGGTATTTTCGTATGATAACTCTGTCGTGGTCGGCTAGTCTACTACCGTCCCGTATGTTCTGGGCTAAACGGCCAACCTCCTCAAATACGAGACGCTATCGCGACAGCGAGCGGCTAAGAAAATGGGAGGCTGCAAAACCGCTGTATCCGTAAAAGAAGGTTACGATAGGGATGACTATGACCCGTCCGTTCTTCTTTTTTTGTCCCGCCGCTCTAACCGACTTTCTTCTTCTCCATTCTTCTCTGCATGTCGAGACCCTAGACCGAGAACATGTCAAAGCTCTTCCCCAATGATCGTTATCAGCTTCTCCACAGATGAACGACAATCTGCAGGTCTATTGTTTCGTAGACTTGAAGATCTCGCGGATCTTTATTTGACCTCAACTGATTTGATGTCATTGAGAAGACAATCCATCGATCGATTTATCACTCAATAAAGCTCATGATTCTACCAGGAGAGCGACTGAGAGAAGTAAGCTTCCGTCGTGGGCTCAGCTGATCCGTCATGAGGTGCTGTACCCCGCTTGAACCATGCATCGTCATGGAGAACAGGGCCCTTGATGCATGCATCACCACTCGGACCCGGCATCATCGACAGAACATGCATGCATGTCTGACCGTATATCGACTTCCCCGCTTCCACATGCTGATTCAAGCAGTTCTCGTGCTTTAATCAGCATAGACCTTCCTGATGAAGACATCACGACGTGTATGCATGTAACCCAATTGTTCACTCGCGCGTCAATCATAGCGTGAGTTGATGCGATGGGACGTTGGATATTCACAAGTTCCATTGAGACAAGGCTGTAGTGAGGGGAAATGCACGATGACTTCCGTTGGTTGAGGAAGAGGTTCAGGTGATTCTTCAGCCTCAAGGTCTAGTGATCAATAGCTCGGGGTTATCCTGGCATCCGCGTACCCGTGCTGCCGTCTGTAACCCCGCTTGTTCCCGCCCAACAGTGAGCATCATCACTCTTAGCTCAACGGCCAATTCCGCATTCTTTCGCGAGGTCAACTGAAGTGAAGCTATTCTCAACATTGCAAAATAGAAGCATTTTAACGCAAGGCACAGCCGTATTTTAGCAGTAGCCAATGTCTAAAAATACCAATTAAAACCGCGCTTTCACAAATGCGGTACAACGTTGCAAAAGGTGAGCGCCACGATCGGTGGCTGGGTTGCCTCAACAATAGGCTGGATCCGGAGGTCCCGAACGTTAAATCTGACCGCTTGCGTGACAATCCAACACGAGGCATATTTGAATACGACCGCTAGACGAGAGGATATTCAATCTATGAATAAGCCAATGTGGCTAGAAAATTGATTGTCACTTGGCGATTCTTGATAGCGCCGAATTGTTCATTCAATTTATCTCGGCATTCCTCACTTCGTATAGCTTCATTCCAGCCATCGTACCCGAAAAATGGAACGATATACTCCACGGAAGAAGCCTTCTAGCTTCAAGAATCATTCCCGCCGACATCCAATCTCATCACAGCTGCATGACCTCGAGTTGTTCCAGAAGCATTTGGATCATCGAACCAGTAATCGTGCACGATTTCAAATCCCGACTTCTCGTAGCATTTCATAGCCGCGACAGAGTTGAAATTGACCAGAAGAACCAGCATAACCTTTTTGCCCTCATTTTGTCTGACTGCGACTTCCTTGGCGTACTCGATCAGCTTGTTCGCCAAGCCCTTGCGCCTCTGAGACGGAGGAACGTAAATCGCATTGAGGACGTAAGCAGACTCGATCTCATCCGCAATCGGACCAAAATAAGTGTTTCCGGGTTCGAACTTCTGTAGATCTTCCCATGTTTTAGCCGCTGTCTTGGCTTCGAGTGGGCCATACAGAATAAGCGATGCTTGCCATGGTTGGTTCAGAATCAGCGTGAGGTCGTCAACTGAGCCTGGATTTGGGTCGGAGATGATAATGATACTAGATGCGAGTGGGTTGCTCAGACGGGCTTCCCATATATCCTTTGTGAATTCGGCTTCGCGCGCATAGTTTGAGCCGAATGACTCGGGGGATAGTTGCAGTGAGAGCAATCGGAATTCTTTGTACTGGTCAACGAGTTTGTCCCACTTATCTGGGTCGGACAAAGACTTTGGAAGAGTTAGAGCTTTGAGAGACATAGTGAAGCTGCTTCAAATTTGGGTTGAAGTTTTCGGGGCTTCGTGGCCTAGATATGGTGGTTGAGGGTGGATAGCCGTGGTCTGGATGCCGATCTCCACTGCTTGTGACTCATTCTTATCAGGCGATCGTGCATACAATCAATCAGCTATCGTGGTCCTCAAGAAAACAACGACATGAAACCCATTTCAAACTCCTCGATCTCTGGATTCAAGTATCCCAAAGCTTGTTCAACAAAGTACTAGTCGGCCAAGCATGATCACGCTCAAGCAACGTCACCAACTCCATAATCGCAGCCTGTTCTCCCGGATCTTGGAAATACTCGCCACACATGGACAATCCAACAGCAGCAGTCACCATTCCCTCTTGGCACCACTTCTGTGACATGGCCAAACCGCAAACACGTCTTGTTGCTTCTCGCATCAGCTCTTCTAGTGCTTTATGCGCGGCTCTGCCACCGATGCCGAGTTGGATTTTGGTGTCGTGCACGGCGAGGACTATACGTGCTAATTCGATGTGTTGGAGGGCTAGCATTTGGCATGGACTGGTTATCCAGTATTCGGGGAAATATCGACCTTCTGATGGGTTCCGTTCTTGGTAGTAGAGGGGCGCGAAATGAGGAGGTCGTTTCTCATCCCAGTTTCTCTGGAAGTCTTTGATAGCCTCCCATTGTTGGGACCGAGCTCGGTTGTCGACTGGCTGTTCGTCGTTGTCATCTGGGTAGCAGAATTTGAGAACATGGGCACACCAAATGAGCACCCGGTTAGTCCAGTCGTAGTCGTCAGCAGCCAAGGTATCGTCAAAGATGCCATAGTTCTCAACAGGTAGAATCGGTAGTCGGAAGGGACGGCGATGCATGAGAACGGACCAAATTTCTTGTCGAAGTGCAATGAGGCAAGCTGAGAACCGAAGAGAAGAAAGCGAGGTTGCATAGACATCTGATCCGCGAGGAGGTTGAAGAATTAGGTGCAGGAGCCCGTCTGCGTCGTTCTGAGAAGCCTGGAATACGGCACGAACGGCAATTGAGAACGTCTCGTTATCAGTACCAGTAAAGTGTGCTGCAGTAGCGTCAGGTTTGATCAAGTGGAGGGTGAATGTATCGTACTATCAACTTGCTCATGATACCTCAGTATGGTAATGGCAGCCAGAGCATCATCGCTACAGGAGTTGATCGGATCTGCTGATACCCCCATGAGATGTGAGATGCACTTGTTGTGGTAGTGGATAGCCGATTCCATGTTGAGGTCTGGAAGCTGTACGCCTGCGTACTCGATGATGTTGTCGGGGTCTTGAAGCGAGGCGACACGTGTAAGGAAGCGAGCTGAGGCGGTGCAGATAGCGTTGAGAAGAAGAGGGCTATGTACGGCTCGAAGAGGAAATACTGAAATGTAATGGTGATCCCTGTCGGTGGTGTCAAACTACCTCAATGGTCAGCTTAAAGGCCTCTCCTGAGATACCTTGCAATGGTCTTACAGCTCTTGCGAGTTTCTCAACGAAACAGCGAAGCAAGCAAGCTTCCTCCAAGCTCAGCGGCTGAGACGGATTCGCGCTCAACAATGAAGTAGGATTATGAAGTTCCAGGTCCATCATTGAAGGAAGAGTATCCGCCTGATATAGCTGGGAGCTGTATCCACCAAAAGGTGACTGATCGTCAGCTCCGCTAGGATTTACATACTTTCCTGTATCATCTTCAGGAGATGAGTGCTGCCATTGGGTTGAAAAGACAGGAAGGGATGCCGTCCCATAGTGATTAGGAGCAATAGTTGCCTGTTCACTTGGTGATGAATTGAGCGATAGTTGAGAAAGGTCTTGTGCAGCAGGGAAGCCCTCATGGCCATGGGACCCCCCAAAAGCATCTGGGGCTTCTTCTGAAAGTCCTCCGGTCACAGACGGTTCGTGCTCGACATCTATCTGCGTATTGCCTTTCGATAATGTCTGCAAAACAGAAGCAGCGAAATCCAAACTCTCGGATTGAGATTCATTCTCGGAAGACGGAGATTCAGCGGCGGCGGTTGAACGGGAGTGGCGAGATGCAGAGTTTGTTTCGTCGACAAAGGAAATTGCGTTTGATTTTTCTGTCAAGCTCAGTTAGAACAAATGCAATCAAGGAGATTGGTCAGACTGACTTTGATTCGATGTTTCTATCCATGTCTGGTTCGGATCAAACTTGAATGTGTTTTCACTCGTGATGAGCTTTTTGATTCGGAACCTTTTAGCTCGAGCGCAACTGATAGAAGCCTTTTTACAATTGGCACAGGGAGTCTCGTTATCGCCTGGACCCGTCAGTCTGAATATATCTAACTCCCAAACATAATTGCATACATTTGAGATGCTTTTCTGTGAGTGGTGGTCAGCTTTGATCAGGGAATCCTTGCAGGTCGTGACGAACCTCGACATTGATCGCAAGGCTTGGTCCGAGTCCGAGGCGCCGAACTCATGTTTATTAAAACTTGGAGATACGATTTGAGAAATATGAGACGGATTAGGAAGGATTTCGCCGGGTTTGCAGGGAGAGGAGCGTGGAGTTGGCATAAGAATGAAATCTCGGGGAGTAGGCCGAGTTGAGGGCAAGGATGTGAAATTGGCGTAAGAATGACTTTAGGTCAGTGTTTCCCCGCATTTTAGCGTCTCTGATGACCTAACGGGGTCGAGTTAGTGGATTGATCCACTACAGCTCTCTAAACCAAGAATCACGGCTCTAATAAGAGTTTATAGGGTAACTACACTCTCTTAAGCGAAGGCGGCAAATGGATGATACAGTTACCACAAGCATCAAGTCTTGTGGAAAGTCAAAGTGAGAAGGGATTAGGCATAAAGATTTTATATCTATTAGCCATAGTGGTCTATGAGCGAGGCCGAGGCTTGTTCTTATTCACTTATACGTGCAGGTAATATCACCACGTTCTGGCATGGAGTCTGACTTTAAGGCGATCAGCCACTGTCCATCAGATGGTAGCTTCGCGACATTACCCGGTCAGAAAGCGACGTCACTATGAACCACAGAAGAGTCGCATTCTAACAAGAAATAAGGAGCTTTGAAGCTTTGGCCATTGGTTATGTAGTTAAATACTTATCATAAGCTCTCAAATACTTTGCTTAACCTCAGCATGCTCGGCACCATGAGCATGGCCCGCCCAAACTTGATGGCGAATTCGCTCGTAGACAGCCTCCTCATCCGCAACAGCATGATCTCCAAACAGTTGAGAAATCTGCTCCAGAGACTTGTTCGCAGTTTCAGGAACAAGAAAGAAGGAAAAGATGGAAGCGAGAGCGCAGAAGATCCCAAAGAAGAGATAAGTACCCCAACCGATCTTAATAATCATCTCCGGAACCACGACACCAATGATGAAGTTGGCGAGCCAGACCATAGCAGTAGCGGCCCCAACACCCTTTGCTCGGCGGGAGCTGGGGAATACTTCAGCGGGGAGAGTCCAAGCTAGTGGTCCGTATGAGCATGCGTAGCAGAGGACGTAGATGTCTGAATTTGTTAGTCTCGAGTCTAGTTGCTGCCGAAGGGAAAACTTACAGATCAGGGCAACTCCAAACCAGCCCATTCCTGGGTTGGCCTCCCATTTGCCGTCAAACTTGCCGACTACGCCGGACATGATGAGATGAGGAACGGCCATGGCAGCACCACCAAAGATGGCAAGCTTACGGCGACCCATCTTGTCCAGGTAGAGGAAGGTAGGAATACCAGCGGCCTATGATGAAAGTCAGTACTTTTCAAGGATATGTGCTAGAGACATCGACTCACCAGCTGACAAATATTCACCATTCCAGATAGAATCAGCGCCATGTTGTCATCCTGCCCGAGCGCCTTGAAGAAAGTGGGAGCATAGTAAACTGACATGGTTAGAACACTCCAACAAAGGATAACTGAGATCTTTCCTTACCGAAAGCATTTATACCACTGAATTGTTGGAAGAAGGGGATTCCAAGAGCAACTGCAGTACGCTTGAGACATCTGGGTCGGAATAGGTCACCCCACTGCTTCAGCTCTAGAATAATGCCATTGTCATTGGGATGTTCCTGAGAAAGGATCTCCTGCTGAAACCGAACTTCTGTGAGAATTCCTTTCCACTCGGCCTGGACTCGATCGTCGGTCGCGGGGACGCGACGGAGTTGGGCGAGGGCGTGAAGAGAGTCGTCGTCTCGTTGGCGCATGACGAGCCATCGGGGAGAGTATGGGAAGAAGTGGATGCCGAGGCCGACTAGCAGAGCAGGAGGCTATCATATGAGGTCAGTATCAGTCGTCTAGTCGGTGGACGCTGGACATACCATCTGGAGCAGAAATGGCAGTCGGAAGGACCATTCACTGGCCATATCCTTTGTTCCATAGGTGATCCAGTAGGAAATGATTGCTCCAATGACAATACTGCACTACGTTAGATATAGTCCAGATCTTTGCGTGTTGACTTACGAGAGAGCTTCAAGAACCAGCAGAGAGCCTCGTAGGTTCGGAGGGGAGATCTCAGAGATATAGAGAGGCGCACCCATGGCCAGGGTTCCGACGCCGATTCCACCAATAGCTCGTCCAGCGACGAGTGTACCATAGTTATGAGAAGCAGTCTGAATGATGGCACCGATGGTAAAGAAGACAGTAGCAACAGTCATAGCCCACTTTCGAGAGATTCGGTCTGCGAGGTATGGAAGAAAGAGACATCCAACAAAGGCACCAAGTTCGAGCATGCCAGTCATGAAGCCGACATTGAAGCCGTATCGAGGATGGCCGGGGGCTGTTTCGGGAAATTGGTCGTGGAATTGCTTCATGGTGAGGATGATGCTAATTACTCCCTGGTCTGGTAACTGTTAGCTTGGAGTCTGGAGATGGAGCTGGCAATCGTAGACTTACCATAACCGAAGGAGAATCCTCCGAGAGAGGCCAGGGTAGCAGCTCCCAGAACATATGGAGATCGAACGATGCCACTCAAGCCATTACTATCATATTCAATGGCAGTCTCGGCTTGGGGCACTGGTTCAGTCTCCTCGACATGACTGGGTGAGTTGCTAAGAGATTCCTTAGACATGATGAATTGGAAGTCGTAGAAGCCAATTGATAGAAAAGATTTGCAGAGCTGATGACTTCTAATATCCTCAAAGTTGAAGGGATCATGAGTCTTTATACTTGGCGAAAGAGAATTGAACCTATGAAGTTGACCTGATCCTAGCATCAACCCCACAGATTTTAGTCTGGGGAAGACCCTAGCTCCGGGGAAACGCTTTGGAGTTGGCCCACTCGTGGCTTTCTTGGAGAAACAGCCTTGGTGCTAGCTAGGTCTTGTTGGGGTAAGTTTTCGGCGAAACATTTCCATTTTTGAACGACCCACGGCGAATCTTCCCCAGACTAAATTCTGCAACTGGAGAACCAATTGGCAAGCAGTTGATTGATATTGGCTCGTGAAAGATTATCCCTGGCGGAGCTGTTTCGGTACTGCTCCCTTATCTCGGCTTGTGGTATAATGCCCGAACTAAGTTTGTATGAGAATGTTATTTTGAGTTGATAGACCTGACCGTTGATGCTTCCGTCTCTCGCCTCCGCGTTATTTCGGCTTGAGATTATCTAGTGCACGCTCCACGATGGTATCCTGGATGTTTCGCCATACGTTCAGCAAGTTCTTCTCATCATACACACCGTCTGTGAAATGGGTATACAGCCGGAGATGAGCCCGGTTCAAATTGTTAATCTTGGCGAGAATATAACTAGATGCGTTCTTTTGATCATCTCCTCCCGCATAATCTGGAAAGTCATCGCTCAACGGCTCTTCTGCGAGTCTCTTGGCGAATCCCTTGAAATTGTTGAAGATGACAATGATGCTCGAATTTCTCAACCAATGTGAATTGACGGTTGATTCATACTGAAGCAAGGCTTCGAAGCTGAAGCTGCTTAGATCGAAAACGTATATCACGGCGAATGCCGTCTCGAGCTGAGGAAATAGTTTTGTCCGATTGACGGTTGCGTTGCCGGGGTCTGTCAATCGCATAGTGAGCTGGCCCATGTTGAACGAAGCCTCCACGCAGCCAGGCAGTGGTGTTGGACAGCTTATAGCATCCCAGTCTGTCGGGATATAGTCATCTTGCATTGTCTTTTCGATTTGGTCTAAGAAACTGTGAGAAAGCGTCAGTACTGCAGAAGGCCGGAGTAATCAAGAGAACGTACTAAGAAACAGCCTCTGGAAGCACGCGGGTTTCGTCCGCCAACAAGGCCTTGGTCGCCGGGTGCTCCATTATTGTGCGGAATATTTGGACAACCCAGTGCTCAAACCCATTGTCGAGATCCAAGTCTTCTTTATGGCATATCATCACATCCTCCAAACATGCCCGTATGGGATCTTCTCTGATGGCTCCATGGACCAATAGCTTCTTTGTCAAATACTGAACACTTTCTAAAGCTATGCCGAGGATTAGGGGACGGAACATACGGAGTTGCTCAGCGGTGTAACATTGTAATCGGCTGCCTGATAAACTCATCTCTTCAAAGACTCGCTTCCTTGACTCTGAACCAAGGACCATTACTTTGATCTCTCGATCGGCCGACTTCAAATCGTCTCTCAACTTTTGATCAATACGTCGGGACACCTTAGTTTGAAGTTTTAAGCTGCTTCTGGTTCGGCTTTGCCTCAGAGGTTGCATCTCTATCCCCATGGTGGCACGTGCTAAAGTATCCATTCGTTTTCCGGAGCTTTCTGATGATCGAGATGGTTCCTCTGATGCGGCAGTTTCTGTACGGGTAAGAGCCATTTGCTGCTCCTCAATAGGTGCACTCGTTGTATCTTCCGAGTCGTGACGGGTGTTCCGCCGCGTCGTTGCAAGCTTCCGGATCCATTTGTCGTAAACCTTGGTGATAAACAACTCTCGATCGAACGCGAATTGAATGGACCATCTCGAAGAGCTTACAGATGTAGCTGTGATTATGGAGTCTGAGTCTCGATGAACAATGAGAGAAGCCGTGTCTCGATCCATGTCCTGGAGAGCTCGCACAAGTTTAGGTTGCTGCAAGATTCTCGTTTGCTCTTTCAAGGCATTTCTGCGGTAATGTTAGTAAGTCAAATAACATTCCAAAATGGGCAAACTCACGAGTTGCATGCAGTTAACAAAAGAGTCAGTGTATGTGTTTGCTGATCAACCATCCGCTGAATCTGCTCCATGTCTTTGGTTTTGAAAAGAAACGAAAGCTTGGAACCAAGTTCCAAGTCTCCGGCTACGTTCTTCTGAAATTGCGATACTTCACCATCAATCTTGCCAATGAGAAGTCGGCAACACGTTACGCAGCTGTCCACCTGCATCACCAATTGATGGGATTGCTCACTGGATCTTGATTCGGTCCATTTCTGGATCTCAAAAAGTGCGAATTTAAGGAGATTGAGCTGGTTTTCGAATGCGAACACGCTGAGATCGGCGATTTTCCAGGCTTGTCGCATGTCGCATACCGTTGTGATCGTTTTGGTGAGAACATCGATAATATTTGCGATCGCTCCCGCTGTCCCGATAATTGAAAGGGGATCGGCCATGCTGGCGTTGCGATTGGGGCTTTTGAGTAAAGTTGTCGCGGATATTGATAAGTTTGAGTTGAAAGAGGGCATTGCTGGAACCCCTAAAATGATCTGACGTGTGAATGGTTCGCAAATCTGCCTCGCGAGGCTGTGCAAGAATGGAATTTCATGGAGTCACAATTGACGAGGCTGAGAATCGTCATCCTGATGCGACTACAAATGCCAAAGCAGGGTAGATTCTTGTTGAGAATCGAAATTTAGTTACTAAGTTTAAGCTCTCTGTTTTAATCAAAGGTCCTAACTTAACATTTAGCCATACATAGGATATTTAAGAAATCTACCTTTCGATATTTGACACCGAGGTATTAATAGAGGTAGAATGTTAAAATTCTCAAGTAGAAAAGCCAAGATACCTTAGCATCCTCCCTAAAGCGGTTGGTACGATCGAGAGAAAGTAGGAAATATCTTTCTCTGCCATTGACTGATGACAATAGGAGGCGATGGGAGGTCCGAGGAGTGTTGGAGGAATATTTAGGTTGGAGAAGATGGATAGCAAAGCCTGGTCTCGTGACCGGGTTTCAAGCCGACTTTCGTTACACGGTCAGAGAAAACGTTCCAGAGACTATAGCTGCGTTTTGCCTCCAAAGCTGCAGTCCGGGGTGCGACAAGGATCTCAATTGGCTCGCGCGTTTATGAGGGATCACCAGGCTTCACCAGGCCATCGCCCATCAGTATGGATCTGCCTAGTGCAGCCCTGAGACGCAATTTAACTTGCAATTGAGTTTACAAGACCTTACTCCGTATTATGTACAATGATGTAATATTGGTGATATCAGATCAGGCCATGTCATCATTTTTCACAGTCAACGGTTCTAGTTGGGCAAAATTGTATTGAGTAGGTTGGCCTCAAGCTTTGAGCACACATGTTCGGCAGTAGCTATGTCAAGTATTTGGTATTTCTCCCATTATCTCTTCCCCGGCCGTTCTGTTGGCCCTGTCACCCGCAAAAACCTGGAATGAGGATCGACGGATTGCATGCACCCGGCATATCTAACTCAAAGTAGAAGCAAGATAGAGCCATTGAGTTTGCCGGGTTCAAGGAAGTTACTCTAGGCAGCAGAATAGAGACAGTCACCCACTTGACGATCCGTCAAGGAAGAGGATCTTGATTGTCTTTGGCGTATATTGTCGCGCTAATTACCCTGGAACAATTCTGGGAAGTTCCTCAATGCCGCATTCAGTTGTAAAAGTATACTAGGCTGTCCATGCGGCATTTATCCAAAACACTGCGTCTAAGCTTAAATCAAGGCACAAGACAGAATCCTTTGAATCCCACGGGGAAACGGTGGGTCAAGGGAGTTGTTCTACTGCAGTGGTCATGCCGATCTATACTCACTCTGTCGGCTTCACTTTGCTCTGTATAAACAGGATGGTCTGGGAGTCCTGGCAAAAGGTATATAAGTCATGGAAATGTCTCAATGAGAGAACTCTTTATCATCAGTAACAACTCTACTTCTCCTCGATTCCAAGATGCGATCTCTTACCTCTATTCTCTTATTCCTCTCTACCGCTCTGGCGGCTGATGTCCAGGTAACCTGGCGCCTTGAGAAAGATACCAAGGCGTCTTCTGTGAGCGCTATGGGCTCTGATGGCAAGGTCATTGCAGAGGCCTGTGGCAGCATCATCCATGCCAAGTATCCTATTGATTTCTCAGATGTCGACGATACTGGCAGTGGTAATTTCACTGTCGGTGATGCCAGCTATCTGGTCCACTCCCTGCCTCAGTGGTCTGGCGGGCCTGCATGCTCTCGCATCTTCAGCCCTCAATATACACTCATACAGTGCTCAAATGTCACCTGGGACTCTACCGATGTGGTTAAAGACAAGGCAGATGGCTGCTTTGCCGATAGTTCCACTGATGGCGAACTGCAGTCCCTCCAGAGGAGGAGCTTGAGCCACGAGATGCATTCTCGAGGCACGGAGCTTGAAAAGAGACAGACGTTTTGCTCTGGCTGGTTCACCAGAACAACCCTTGTTGGAGATGGTGACTACCCCCCAATATTCCTGACATGATAGTTTCTGACTGGACCAAATAGGGGATCCTCACCAGAATTACTTCCACAAGCAGCTATCGGTATGTAACCATCCCCTTACTTTATTCCAGCAATGTAGTATGTACGACTTGTATTGACAAACTCCAGGAAAATATCAACTGTGCCAGTGCTGCATCCTGCTCCGTCGGTCAAACTGATTCAACATCCTACACCATTGGGTGGACTGCCACTGTCAGTAGCCCAGGTGGTGGCTGGATCTCAGGGGGTTTCGGCGTCAGTGAAAGCTGGACGACTGGAAATAGCTACACCTGCAACGCTGGGAAAGGAGAGACAGTTTGCATCTGGTATAACATTGCTCATACCGCTTGTAAGTCGTTTGAGGCAAAGAACGAGGGGCAAAACTGACGAATATTAGACACCGTCCAAGAGTATACCAAGAACACCTGCACTGAGGGCCATGGAGGGACCCCTTATGTTATGTACTCACCTAACGAGAACAACAAGGGCGGCGGTTATTACTGCGTTATCGGTACTTGCCGATCTAAGGGTGAGGGTTACTGGGATTACAATGGCCGTGCTGGCGGTCCTTGAAGCAACATATAGCTTCACTTCCATCTACTTACACCCAAAGGATGTGTTGAACTAGTAGCACTGGCTTCCAACGAAAGGCAACCGTCCTTTTGAGTGTTCTGGATCATTTATGTATTACCTTCGTTGCCAGAGAGACTATCTCTCATGTTAGGCCTGGCGGTTCTCGAATCAATTTATGGAGATATTTCTTAAAAGTACTGTTCTCAATGGGAATTCGAAAATGCTTAGTGTTGGAAGAGCGTATCGCTATCAGGCGACGGGTTCTGAAGACGGAAGGGTGTTCTCATGATGACAGCCACAGCTAGTCTTACTATCTGAACTACTGAAATGACTCTGATCTCTACACGATTGTGTCTCCTTTGTAGCATTCTCACTGGCCGTCTGATAACTTCATCTCTTCAAAGACCCGCTTTCTTGACTTTGCGCCAAGGATACCTCCACCTTCCAGATTTCAAGGGACATTTATTCCGTTAGGACTCTTTAGCTTGACGGTAGCTGATATACTGTCCGGAATGACTTTGATAAGAGTGTTGTTTTGAGTTGATATACCCCATAGCCGATGGCTCACATCACGCGCATCGCACGCTTAAATGTTCGATTTATTCATTCCTTTATTGCGTCTAGGAAGCTGTATCTCCATTCTGGAATGCATATTGGTACATCTCTTGGGCCGGCCCATGCTTCAAAATACTGTCGACATGGTACTTAGGCCGTCGTAGATCGAAGTGTCTTAGTCCCAAGCAAGAGCTGAGGTTAGAAGACTCAATCCACCATACACGGGCTCCTTTCTTCCAAGTGTTCTGTTGCCGTTCGGTTTTGCTGCACGAGATCTTCTGCTACTCAAGAATGCGTTAGCCTCTGATCAATCAAGTCCCAGGTTGAGGAACATACCATTTATACATGTTAGAAAGTAATTGCCAGCCTGGAATCAGTGGGTCAGGCCCTGGTCATGCCGTGGTAGCACCGCCTGACTTGGGGACGTTCCTCATTGGTTAGGTTGCCTGGCTTGGGATTTCCCCAATCGTCTGTGTCCTCCTGCATAGCGAGAGGGGCGATGGATTTATCTTCCTCCCGTGGGATTCTTCCTCAGAATCATTGGAGGGATCTCCTTGCACATGGACCTCATTCATCACCTGTGTTCGCAGGCTAAAGCTTAACCTTATAGGCCACAGTCAACCCCATAGCCCCTAGCACATGGTCCACACCGTCCTTTTCTTTGAACCAGCTGATGAGAGCGCCAAACGTATCAGACCTGATTTGGGCCTTTGCTCCACCTCAGCAGTTGCCTGTATGGACTGGGACGTGTCGGCCGCCTGAGATGTTTCGATATCCCCGAAGATGGCCATGAATAGCTTATGACGGCTTGTCTCAACGTCGAATAGGTATTCTTTGACTTTGTGGCTCGGGGGCTGAAGCTTCTTTCAACCTCCCAACTTTATCGCAGTCGCAACTTTGAGTCTCATGGGCGGTTACACATGGACCAGTCCTTTTGTCCACAGCAAGACACAGGACTACCATATCGTTTTCTCGACCCTGATACGAATCGATGGTCGCAGACGTGTGAGGCGCGTGATGTGAGCCATCAGCTGTGGGGACTATCAACTGGAAATCACACTCTTATCAAATCATTGAGGAGAGTATTGAGGGCCAATTCAGCACGAGTGTGGCACAAGTTGGAACGGTACGGCGTGATGGCGACAATACGATCGGCGGGGAACTTGACCACCTTGTTAAAGTCTACAAGCCACACCATCAGTGGTTTGTGTTTTGACTTTCTGTCATCAATGCGACAAGGGCAGTCTCTGTAGTTCACGAAGACCGGAGACATTGTGTCAGGGGGCAGTTGCAGTCCATCATGGTCGTTCAAAAACTCCCGGATAGCACCAGCGAAGGGATAGTTCTCTAGTGCAGCCGACACAGGATACGAGAACCGAGCCTCAAGGTGACTGTAAGTCAAACGAAGTGACAGATCAAACATTCCTTGTGCCATTCGATGCTGTCTATAGAGATGGAAGGCCGGGATCTCCAGGTGGAGGAGCTAAGGCTCAAATTTGAAATCTGGCTNNATACTTTTGATGCGGTGCCTTTAGGATAGTCAAGAAGGCTTGGCATCCTGTCCGAAGCGGTTGACCGTGGTACAATCTGAGTAGGTTTCTCTCATAGTTAGAAGTGCTGGCGGGAGTTGCTTCTCATCTCTGACAGCGAAGACGGGTCGCATAGAGTTGCCAAACACCATGAGTCCGTCTGTCCGATGCATGGCCGTTACCTTCTCGAACAAGGCCATGCATTGAAGCTTTTGTATGGCTGCGAACCTGCCATAGCTGGTGTCACTGTCACAAAGTTTGCGCATCGGACAACCTCACGCATCAGGCG